ACATTAGTGTCCACACAAATAGAAATATACCCCGGTACAATAAACACAAAATAATTATAATATACAAGTACAAGTTCTTAATTCCATTTTGCACTTGAGCGTCCAATAAATAGAAATCTACAATATATTAACACACATGAATTCTAATATACATTGTATACACTTGCTCATAAAAGTACAATTTCTTAATTACACTTTGCAGTTTTGTACAAAATTAATAAGCTGTTCATTCGATATACATATGAAAAAAAATAAACTGGAGGTAAAATTGTGGAATTAAAATTTTCTTGGAATAAATATAATTGTGAAAAGACAGAAGGGTACAAACACAAACTGTAAAATTGTATGTACAACTATATACAATGAAAGCATTAACTTCAATAAATATACCATAAAACTTACTGCAACCTGTATTTTTTCATAATACAAAATTTCAGCAAAACGCTTTGCCAAATTCAGTACCTTGACTAACTCCAAAGTTTAAAAAAAAATAGTTTCTGACCTGATAAAGCTCTGATGGCAATGTGTAGAATCCATGATCACTCTGGACAGCTGTCACTATTTTTCTACGCATATCCAGGTCTTGGTCGGGTTCAAGAAGAGAATTTGCTGTCTCACAAGCTACAGCAAGATTCAATACTCGATGCTCCTTAAGGGGCCTAGGCTGAAGGTGTTTGGGAAATTCGAACAACGTGGGCAGAGCATTTCTCTTCAGAATTTTGGTTTTACCGCCTGTTTTGAAAGACTTGGGATCAAAGTGTTTCGAGCAGAGGCTATTTTGACTAGAAGGATTGTAGCCATCCCAACGCATAGCATGCACCCACTGGTGTCGTCTGGTGAGGTCCTTCGGAATATAGTGGAATGTAATTCCATTCGCCTTTGATTCTTGTGAATAACGCTGTTTACACCCCCATGCTACACAGGTTCGAGGCATTGTGCATCACTTTAGATTCTGCAAAACAAATACAAGAGAAAACAAAGGTTTATTAAAAATGATCTTATATTATTAGAAAAATATTTCATTATCAAGTTACATGGTGTAGTTCACAGTAATATCTTTATAATTATAGGCACTTGCAAAATTAGAGCTAAGTTGAGGATGAACACGGAATAGGAAAATAAAATGTCGCTGAAAGCTGTCCACACTTTAGACTTGACTGCAAGTAGCAAAGGAATGAATGACTTTTAATGGTGTTGAACACAAATTTAGAACTTGTGCAAATTCAAAATGTGTATGCGCGATCAGAAAGAATGATGTAACCTGACGCTACTTTAGCAGTTGTGCACAAAATCTATCGAGAGTCGAGAAGTTTCATGTGACACACTCCTATATACAGAATTCCAACAAAATTTGAATACACTAATGCTGTATTCTTTGGTTCATTCTATGCTCTTCTGGCAGTTGATATGTTCTGGTTGGCCACATTGTGACATTGTTATTAAGTTCCCAATGACTGTTATGCAAATTGTTGACAATCCTGACAAAGGAAAAGGGTCCACTCTTGCAAATTTGTGCAAGTTTTAAATTAATCTGCTCAACATTGCCATGACTCCATGAGGAAAAAAATGTTGCAACCTGACGCTGCTTTTTTCTTCATATATCATCTCAATGAATGTCAGTAATTGCGAAAATGATGATAAGATATGAATCTGGGACTGAGAAACACAAATTTATTAGGAAATATTTAGAAAATTGTCTTGACTCTCCATAGACTTTGTACACAACCGCTCATATGGAGAACTAGGGAGCATTTGCTCACTCGCCACTAGTGCAGCTCTGTTTACGTGGGAAGACTGGCTCTGCCTCATATCTAGGCGCTCTCAGCAAACTTTCGTTAATACGTGGAAAGTATGTTGGTTAAACTTACTTCCTCGCATCGCATCATAAAATATAGGTTTTCCTCTTTCAAATGAATATAATTTCTTCATGGTTAAAGGCGAATAATTATGTGCACTTTTTCATTGAAAAACGGGTAACTCAGTGAAAATTTCGCGTTTCCTATGGAGGTCACGGCACATTTCCCCGATTTTTGAGGGTGCGGGTTTACTAGCTTCTTCGAACAGCACACGTGTTAACCCCGGTCGCATACAATTACCTCGCACGGTTTCTGAAAGATAACACATAAGTGATGAAGTTCTGAGTTCATTAATTCGAGTACTTGTTGAGAAGAATATGTTTAAAGTTGGTTTTGAAAGTAGAAATAGATGACGATTTTTTTATTGTATTGTCTAGGGAGTTGCACAATTTTGGCCCTTCAAATTTAACACTTTTTTTTGGCTAAAGCTGTCCGTACAAATGGTAAATGAAATTCGGTGGCCTGTCGAGTTAAATATCTATGAAAGTCCCTATTTCTGTTAAACATGGTACTAATTTTGTTTCGGTCTTTCTTTTTGTGTGTGTCTCCTTTAGCATGCCAATCATGTGCCTTCACATGCGGAAGTCTTTGTCTGCCTCAGAGCTATGTATGTGACGGTTTTGTTGACTGTGTGGACGGCACGGCTGCAGATGAGCGCAACTGTCCAAGTAAACCACCTTACGTCTTTTTCCAGTTTTTAAAAATATTTTTGTTTTAATTATATTTTACAGTACATTTTTATACACAGTCTTATGCACATAACATGTAACTGATAGGATAGATTTTTTTGTATGAAATGTCGGTCATTGAGCTGAAGAGGTGTGAAACATTTCAGAAACTTTCTTCTTTTTGTTGTTGTTGGAGGGGGAGGCATTTGTTTGCTTCTAGACGAAATATTACCTTTTTTTATTTACTGGAACAATGAATTTTCTTAATGACCACATTATGCTAAACCATTCTTTGAAATTGGTACTTGTTTATTGTCAAACTTGTTTATACAATAAGATGGTAAACAAAAATCCTTTCCTGGTAATATGACAGGATAAAACAAAACTAGTTGTAAGGAATTTGTTTTTTCATTATCATTTTTTTTTACATGCATTAATAGAAAAGAGCACCCTTTGTTCTTCATATTTTAATTACTTTGATATCTTTGATAACTTCCTGTTGACTTTCAATGTGCAAAATTTGCACATAAAGGCTCTGAAAACAACTCTTTTTGTTGGGTTGGGAACCAAATAACGAGACTTTTTTTTTCATAAGTTACACTTGAAGTTTATCTGTCATTATTTGAGCAATATCGCTAGCAAGCTTAGGCCGAAACACGGCCACATAAATATTGCTCGGTATTAAGATATTGCTTTTAATAGTTGGCCCTTGCGATATGGTTTAATTGACTATTAATTGCTTCTTATTATATTGCTCGTGGTAATTGTATACCTAATGACGGTTGCATTGTGTATCATTATTGATGATGGTATTTGCATATTAATTATGTTGCTCATGGCTAATTGCAGAGTTCCGCGTCACCAGCTTTGGACCGGAACTAACAGTGTCAGTACTGTTTTGCTTATAACTGCGGTTTTGCTATCAAGCTTTGGAGGGGAGCAGACTTTGACAAGATTGTTTTAACTATACTTGCTAAGTATAATTGCAGTTCTGCGCTATCAGCTTCGGGCGGGAACAATCTGTGATAGTATATTGCTTATCAATCTGTGATATTATTGCTAATTGGAATTCGGGCGATTCACATTGCAGTGCGCCACCAAGAGTTTCCCATGGAGAGTCAATTTTTTCAAGTTTACGGTGGACAAAACATGGGCCATTTAAATGAGTGTCACAGACAACTTGAGCTTATATGTTATAGATTGAGGCATAGTGTTCTGCCGCCTTACAAAAAAAACACCATATTGATAATAAGAAAAGGGCAAACAGATCCTCGAATTATACGCTTACGAAACTACTACTAAACTAACATTTTTAAATGTCGCGCGCTGCGAACTTGTTGACCGTCTCCAGTGTTCTCCAACTTTGAAAATCAAAGGTTGGCGCTGGGGTCGGCGGGGACTCCTGCGAGCGCGGAGCGCGAAGCCCTTACGGCGTGGGGTCCGGGGCCCGCTTAAGGGCCCCGGGAAAATTTTGGATTCTAGATGCTCTGTGGTGCAATCTGAGGCGATTCTCCAGGCCAGTTCCCCCGATTTTTTTAGCATTCAAAAATTTCCTTTTCAACCTAAAACAGACTTCTCTCAGATCAAATGACCCCTTTTTGTAATTTTGAAAAACAAAATGGGATACAAATTACGTTTTTTTTAACGCGATTTTATGGGTGGTGCCGGTGCCATACGATCGTCATCTTTATTTTCATGTTGCGTTTTGTCGTTGTCATCGTCATTTCCCCCCCAAATTTCCCTCTATTTATGACCTACCTGTATGTTCTTAAATGTCGCCAACTAGTTTGGTAAGTCAAATAAATTAAAAGTGGAATTTGTTCTCTTAGGGAACCGGGCCCATACACGATCGCTATTTATAACTTTTGACAATCGGCATGATCGGAACACCATGTAATGATGTATATGTGCACGCGTGTTTTGGCCTCGAGCTCGTTTGCCTCGTACACATCAATGCGTATTATATTGTGTACCGCGCGTGCAAGCACTGAGAAAAAGAAAGTCGGTAGGCTGCACGTACGTAAGATCTGCCGTACGTACTCCTGCTGGTGGGTGTGTGTACTAATACAGATATATATTTTTGCGGCGGGGTTGTCGCTACTTGAAGTATCGGCACACTCCGGAACTGGGGATTCAGTTGTCAGTGTGCGAGTACATCGCGCGTACTATAGTATAGTACGTACGGGTGCATGGGAAATCGCTGGTGTTTACACGGCCGGCCGTGCGTGTGATTGATTCAGCGAGATTTTAAGACAACCCCGATCGGGCTGGGATGACATCGAAAAACATTGTTAATGTGTGGAAAAACAACTGAATTCAATTATTTTAGTTGTAAATGTACACTGTAGAGTCAAAAAAAATTAAACCTGGCGGCAGGATTTTAAAGCTTGGCGGGGACTTCTTAAACATGGCGGGCGCCGAAGAAAGCATGGCGGGGCGCCAGGTTTGTTCTACATGTTGGAGAACACTGCCGTCTCCCTCAATGGCTACACCAACTGCAACGCATTTAGGAATTGCCAGGATGGGTCAGACGAACCAGCAACTTGCTTTAAAACCGGCAAAGCACTATTATTTATTTAGTGTTGATCCATCCGATTTCCATTTTTTTTGTCAGTGGATCCTGGTAATACTTGTCCCGCCGAGCACTTCAAGTGCTTGAACGGTCGTCACTGCATTCCCAATGTGTGGATTTGTGACATGGATGACGACTGTGGCGATAACTCAGATGAGAGTGAGGACCTACACTCTTGCAGTAAGTATCCCTGATCAGTAGTGATGCTTAACCAGTTTGCACTGGGATTATTTTGACATTGATCGCACCCAGGCACGTGATTGTTTTTCATGAACCTCGATGCCAGACAGGTTCGGCCGTCAGCTGTGGGAAGCACACCCTGATATTTCCGGCCTCGCTCGCTGTGAGCAGGTCACTGACCGATATTTCCGGCCGCGCTCATGCAGTCTGTATTCTCTTACCTAATTTGCTGATTGATATATTCATAAGTTACACTTGAAGTTTATCTGTCATTATTTGAGCAATATCGCTAGCAAGCTTAGGCTGAAACACGGCCACATAAATATTGCTTTTGGTATTAAGATATTGCTTTTAATAGTTGGCCCATGCGATATGGTTTAATTGACTATTAATTGCTTCTTATTATATTGCTCGTGGTAATTGTATACCTAATGACGGTTGCATTGTGTATCATTATTGATGATGGTATTTTGCATATTAATTATGTTGCTCATGGCTAATTGCAGAGTTCCGCGTCACCAGCTTTGGACCGGAACTAACAGTGTCAGTACTGTTTTGCTTATAATTGCAGTTTTGCTATCAAGCTTTGGAGGGGAGCAGACTTTGACAAGATTGTTTTAACTATACTTGCTAAGTATAATTGCAGTTCTGCGCTATCAGCTTCGGGCGGGAACAATCTGTGATAGTATATTGCTTATCAATCTGTGATATTATTGCTAATTGGAATTCGGGCGATTCACATTGCAGTGCGCCACCAAGAGTTTCCCATGGAGAGTCAATTTTTTCAAGTTTACGGTGGACAAAACATGGCCCATTTAAATGAGTGTCACAGACAACTTGAGCTTATATGTTATAGATTGAGGCATAGTGTTCTGCCGCCTTACAAAAAAAACACCATATTGATAAAAAGAAAAGGGCAAACAGATCCTCGAATCATACGCTTACGAAACTACTACTAAACTAACATTTTTAAATGTCGCGCGCTGCGAACTTGTTGACCGTCTCCCTCAATGGCTACACCAACTGCAACGCATTTAGGAATTGCCAGGATGGGTCAGACGAACCAGCAACTTGCTTTAAAACCGGCAAAGCACTATTATTTATTTAGTATTGATCCATCCGATTTCCATTTTTTTTGTCAGTGGATCCTGGTAATACTTGTCCCGCCGAGTACTTCAAGTGCTTGAACGGTCGTCACTGCATTCCCAATGTGTGGATTTGTGACATGGATGACGACTGTGGCGATAACTCAGATGAGAGTGAGGACCTACACTCTTGCAGTAAGTATCCCTGATCAGTAGTGATGCTTAACCAGTTTGCACTGGGATTATTTTGACATTGATCGCACCCAGGCACGTGATTGTTTTTCATGAACCTCGATGCCAGACAGGTTCGGGCCGTCAGCTGTGGGAAGCACACCCTGATATTTCCGGCCTCGCTCGCTGTGAGCAGGTCACTGACAGATATTTCCGGCCGCGCTCATGCAGTCTGTATTCTCTTACCTAATTTGCTGATTGATATATTCATAAGTTACACTTGAAGTTTATCTGTCATTATTTGAGCAATATCGCTAGCAAGCTTAGGCCGAAACACGGCCACATAAACATTGCTTTTGGTATTAAGATATTGCTTTTAATAGTTGGCCCTTGCGATATGGTTTAATTGACTATTAATTGCTTCTTATAATATTGCTCGTGGTAATTGTATACCTAATGACGGTTGCATTGTGTATCATTATTGATGATGGTATTTTGCATATTAATTATGTTGCTCATGGCTAATTGCAGAGTTCCGCGTCACCAGCTTTGGACCGGAACTAACAGTGTCAGTACTGTTTTGCTTATAATTGCAGTTTTGCTATCAAGCTTTGGAGGGGAGCAGACTTTGACAAGATTGTTTTAACTATACTTGCTAAGTATAATTGCAGTTCTGCGCTATCAGCTTCGGGCGGGAACAATCTGTGATAGTATATTGCTTATCAATCTGTGATATTATTGCTAATTGGAATTCGGGCGATTCACATTGCAGTGCGCCACCAAGAGTTTCCCATGGAGAGTCAATTTTTTCAAGTTTACGGTGGACAAAACATGGCCCATTTAAATGAGTGTCACAGACAACTTGAGCTTATATGTTATAGATTGAGGCATAGTGTTCTGCCGCCTTACAAAAAAACCACCATATTGATAAAAAGAAAAGGGCAAACAGATCCTCGAATCATACGCTTACGAAACTACTACTAAACTAACATTTTTAAATGTCGCGCGCTGCGAACTTGTTGACCGTCTCCCTCAATGGCTACACCAACTGCAACGCATTTAGGAATTGCCAGGATGGGTCAGACGAACCAGCAACTTGCTTTAAAACCGGCAAAGCACTATTATTTATTTAGTATTGATCCATCCGATTTCCATTTTTTTTGTCAGTGGATCCTGGTAATACTTGTCCCGCCGAGTACTTCAAGTGCTTGAACAGTCGTCACTGCATTCCCAATGTGTGGATTTGTGACATGGATGACGACTGTGGCGATAACTCAGATGAGAGTGAGGACCTACACTCTTGCAGTAAGTATCCCTGATCAGTAGTGATGCTTAACCAGTTTGCACTGGGATTATTTTGACATTGATCGCACCCAGGCACGTGATTGTTTTTCATGAACCTCGATGCCAGACAGGTTCGGGCCGTCAGCTGTGGGAAGCACACCCTGATATTTCCGGCCTCGCTCGCTGTGAGCAGGTCACTGACAGATATTTCCGGCCGCGCTCATGCAGTCTGTATTCTCTTACCTAATTTGCTGATTGATATATTCATAAGTTACACTTGAAGTTTATCTGTCATTATTTGAGCAATATCGCTAGCAAGCTTAGGCCGAAACACGGCCACATAAACATTGCTTTTGGTATTAAGATATTGCTTTTAATAGTTGGCCCTTGCGATATGGTTTAATTGACTATTAATTGCTTCTTATTATATTGCTCGTGGTTATTGTATACCTAATGACGGTTGCATTGTGTATCATTATTGATGATGGTATTTGCATATTAATTATGTTGCTCATGGCTAATTGCAGAGTTCCGCGTCACCAGCTTTGGACCGGAACTAACAGTGTCAGTACTGTTTTGCTTATAATTGCGGTTTTGCTATCAAGCTTGGGAGGGGAGCAGACTTTGACAAGATTGTTTTAACTATACTTGCTAAGTATAATTGCAGTTGTGTGCTATCAGCTTCGGGCGGGAACAATCTGTGATAATATATTGCTTATCAATCTGTGATATTATTGCTAATTGGAATTCGGGCGATTCACATTGCAGTGCGCCACCAAGAGTTTCCCATGGAGAGTCAATTTTTTCAAGTTTACGGTGGACAAAACATGGCCCATTTAAATGAGTGTCACAGACAACTTGAGCTTATATGTTATAGATTGAGGCATAGTGTTCTGCCGCCTTACAAAAAAACACCATATTGATAAAAAGAAAAGGGCAAACAGATCCTCGAATCATACGCTTACGAAACTACTACTAAACTAACATTTTTAAATGTCGCGCACTGCGAACTTGTTGACCGTCTCCCTCAATGGCTACACCAACTGCAACGCATTTAGGAATTGCCAGGATGGGTCAGACGAACCAGCAACTTGCTTTAAAACCGGCAAAGCACTTTTATTTATTTAGTATTGATCCATCCGATTTCCATTTTTTTTGTCAGTGGATCCTGGTAATACTTGTCCCGCCGAGCACTTCAAGTGCTTGAACGGTCGTCACTGCATTCCCAATGTGTGGATTTGTGACATGGATGACGACTGCGGCGATAACTCAGATGAGAGTGAGGACCTACACTCTTGCAGTAAGTATCCCTGATCAGTAGTGATGCTTAACCAGTTTGCACTGGGATTATTTTGACATTGATCGCACCCAGGCACGTGATTGTTTTTCATGAACCTCGATGCCAGACAGGTTCGGGCCGTCAGCTGTGGGAAGCACACCCTGATATTTCCGGCCTCGCTCGCTGTGAGCAGGTCACTGACAGATATTTCCGGCTGCGCTCATGCAGTCTGTATTCTCTTACCTAATTTGCTGATTGATATATTCATAAGTTACATTTTGAAGTTTATCTGTCATTATTTGAGCAATATCACTAGCAAGCTTAGGCCGAAACACGGCCACATAAATATTGCTTTTGGTATTAAGATATTGCTTTTAATAGTTGGCCCTTGCGATATGGTTTAATTGACTATTAATTGCTTCTTATTATATTGCTCGTGGTAATTGTATACCTAATGACGGTTGCATTGTGTATCATTATTGATGATGGTATTTGCATATTAATTATGTTGCTCATGGCTAATTGCAGAGTTCCGCGTCACCAGCTTTGGACCGGAACTAACAGTGTCAGTACTGTTTTGCTTATAATTGCAGTTTTGCTATCAAGCTTTGGAGGGGAGCAGACTTTGACAAGATTGTTTTAAAAATACTTGCTAAGTATAATTGCAGTTGTGCGCTATCAGCTTCGGGCGGGAACAATCTGTGATAATATATTGCTTATCAATCTGTGATATTATTGCTAATTGGAATTCGGGCGATTCACATTGCAGTGCGCCACCAGTTTCCCATGGAGAGTCAATTTTTTCAAGTTTACGGTGGACAAAACATGGCCCATTTAAATGAGTGTCACAGACAACTTGAGCTTATATGTTATAGATTGAGGCATAGTGTTCTGCCGCCTTACAAAAAAAACACCATATTGATAAAAAGAAAAGGGCAAACAGATCCTCGAATCATACGCTTACGAAACTACTACTAAACTAACATATTTAAATGTCGCGCGCTGCGAACTTGTTGACCGTCTCCCTCAATGGCTACACCAACTGCAACGCATTTAGGAATTGCCAGGATGGGTCAGACGAACCAGCAACTTGCTTTAAAACCGGCAAAGCACTATTATTTATTTAGTATTGATCCATCCAATTTCCATTTTTTTTGTCAGTGGATCCTGGTAATACTTGTCCCGCCGAGCACTTCAAGTGCTTGAACGGTCGTGTCTGCATTCCCAATGTGTGGATTTGTGACATGGAAGACGACTGTGGCGATAACTCAGATGAGAGTGAGGACCTACACTCTTGCAGTAAGTATCCCTGATCAGTAGTGATGCTTAACCAGTTTGCGCTGGGATTATTTTGACATTGATCGCACCCAGGCACGTGATTGTTTTTCATGAACCTCGATGCCAGACAGGTTCGGGCCGTCAGCTGTGGGAAGCACACCCTGATATTTCCGGCCTCGCTCGCTGTGAGCAGGTCACTGACAGATATTTCCGGCCGCGCTCGTTGAGTGTTTATCAGTCATTCGTTCCAAATACCGCAAACCTTTGCGTGGATTCACGTCATCCATTGTGATCTGGTTAAAAGCAGAAAATATTGCCGAGTAAATATATTGTTGATTTTTCCTGATGCGGCGCAGTCGCAGACGTGGTGCACATTGATTTTTCACCTCTAGTGCCTTGCTAGAGCAAAAGTTTTACCTCACATTTCACAGTAAGTGGAATTTCATCGAGCTCCAAACTTTTCCTTTGAGTTTATCTTCCTGTCAGAAATTTAAGAGAGAAATGTTACTCTGCCGTAATTTTCTGATTTTATGTTGAAGTTCACAGTGAACCCTTTTAAAATGTGCCCAAAAATAAGAAAACACTGTTTTGACAAACATGTAGTTGGGTATGTGAGTGGCTATTACAATGGTTTATCAGAATTAGTCAACTAAATTTTCACTTTTTTGTGGATTAAGACAGCAGCTGTTAAAATATCCCCCCAAAATTTAAATATAACCGGAACTAAAATATTTCCAGACATATGTGAACTTACTTAGGATGTTGAAAAAAAGGAAAAGTTCAGCCTGTTCATCAGGAATGAGACCATGTTTCTCATGAGACCATGCAGCTCGAGTTCAGCGCAATCTGGTCCCTACTGTACCTTCACAGGTACCCATTTATACTCCTGGTTTGAGAGTGGCAAGAGCACAAGTATCATGTTCCCCATCAGGATTCAAAACCCTGTACAATGGCACACGAGTCGAACACCGTAACCATTGGACCACAGTGCCCCAGTGGCTAAAAGCCGATCTAATGTATATCTGAATCCCAAATTAGCATTGGAACGGAGGCTCTCAGTGCTGAATGAATTGAGGACCTTTTCTTTTAATAATCCTCTCAACAAAAGAGAGCATTGGGGCCCTTGGCTTCAGTGGCAATTTGAAATTCCTTAATATAACCGACATACATTATCCTTGTCATGTGATTGGTGGAACTCACATCACGTGACATTCGTTATTACTCCCATTCACGCCCCAAATCAAAAAGTACTATCCGCCCATGGGGAATGGGAAATACTATTGAACAGTAACAATCATTCTTGTTCCAAGACGCGGTATTTGTGTACAAATGCATGTTGGTGTGCGCGTTCAGCGTTGCGCGTAGCGCGTATTGTTCCAAAGAGTCAGCGCTACAAAGTGGGGTTCAAACATTTTCGTGAAGGGGTGGTTTGGAAGAGAGAAATACATTTCCCATCAATTTTGTAGTGAAATAAAAAGTTCAAATATATCAAATGACAAGGATCTATATGCCAGTTATATAAAGCAAATATTGAGTGGCTTTAAATTGTGAAATGGGAGGAATATCATCGTTGGTAAAATCTGGACTTTTCCAGTTCACTCAGCTTCGCCTTGTGAAACGGAAAAGTCCAGATTTACGTTGCGATAATATTCCTCCCATTTCACTCTGAGCCACTCAATATTTGTATACTAACACACTTTTCATTACTTGATTCATCTTCCTTCCCCTTCTCTCCCCTTTTCAGGCACCAGTGCCTGCGACAGTACTCGCTACTTCACCTGCCAACGCAACCGCCCAGGCTACAGCCGCTGCATCCCGCTGGAACTGTTGTGTGACGGGACCAGTCACTGCGGGTATGCTGAGGACGAGAACACAACCATGTGTGGTAAATAAAAATGCAGAAACTAAAAAAAAAACCACCAAATTCCCCCAAAAGAGAGTGTCATCTTTGCACTTTCTGCAAAACAGTTCAGATACCAACCTAGCGGAGTGCTGTGGCCTTGTGGCAGTGTTGTAGTCTAGTCACCAACGTCGAGTCTGAGTCCGAGTCCCGAGTCACAAGCCTCGAGTTTGAGTCTCAAGCCTCGAGTCCGAGTCATCATGGTCGAGTTTGAGTCCAAGTCCGAGTCATTTTCCAAATCCAATGTGACTTGAGTCGAGTCCGAGTCACAAAAAATGTGACTTGAGTCTGAGTCCTGGGGCGGATTGCAATAACCGGTCTTAAAGCTGTCTATGCGCATTAGACAGTCTAAAAGCTCTGGCTGTCAGTCAGTCTATAAGTTAGACCATTGCAATGACACGGTCTAAGTATTAAGACAGTCTTAAAATAGTTAGCCTGGGTAGGGCTGGCTTAAGATGGTCTATAGTTGGGATTTTTGGAATTCATTGGTGTGTTGAATTATTCTTTCCTAACATGTTTTTTTCAGTTGATGATCAGTGAGTGTTAATCTTTAAAAAAAAAAAAGAAGAAGAGAATACTGCTTGGAGGGAGGATTCTCCACGATAGAAGGAATCTTCTAGAAAAAAATGTAATGACACTGAATTGTACTGCAAATGCAATATTCTCTCAACATAAAATCTTGGAATTGACAAATTTGATTTCGCATGATTTGAATCACACAAACCTACAAAAAAAAATGTGTGCAGTCTCTCCGGTATATGCTCGTAACTATGGAATGTTTGTTTGTGAATCATTACTCTAAGCGGGCTTTGTAAAGACCAGCTTATTGCAATGGGCTAAGTTTGGTGTCTTAAACAAGACCGTCTAAGAGCAATAGCAGGCTAAAATCGGACTGGTTTAGCCAGCCGACTTAGACCGCGTTATTGCAATCCGCCCCTGAACTCGAGTCCTACAACACTGCCCCATGTTCTGGAGTATTGACATTGAGGTCTGCGGGTAATTCTGCTCAAAATGTGAACCCAAAATTTGCTCATTGAAAACAGTTGTGAGAAAGGGTTGCTCATGGTCTTACTGCCATGTACTCATTCAACAATGAATCGCCAAATAAAAGACAATTTATGACAGCAAAATATCCAAGAAATTCTAACAGCTTGTTGTGCTGAAATAGCTGTAACATTGAGGTTTGTGCCAGGAATGACTCACAGTTTTGCTCATGAATATGGAAATTTGCATGAGTGTAAAAATCAAAAAGGGCACCAAAATAACCTTGAAGTGGCAAAACGAAAATTGAAAATAAGGTTAAATGGTACACAAAGGTGCAGTTTCATGGATAACATTAAAAAAAATTACATTACACGGGCCCTTTAAAAACCACATATGTTACTATTTTTCTTTGATGATATTTGTTTTGATTAGGCACATCGCAGTCCTGTCTAGGTTACGAGTTCACATGCGACAACCATCTGTGTATTCCTATATGGTACCAATGTGACCATGACAACGACTGCGGCGACGGTAGTGACGAAGGAGCTACGTGTGGTAAGTATAATTTGTCGATTGTCTTGACAACCAGCTGTTGTTGATGAGTAAGGCTTCTATGTCAAGCATGTCGGTGTTGCGTGAATTTAGGACCCTATGAAATATGGACTCATTGGTTGTATTGCGCATGCCTAAGTGAGATAATTAGGAGAGTGACCGGTCACGTGACAGGGTTTAACCATTGAAGTAGGACCCAAGGAGTCAGAACTTTTGGGTGATTTACATTTTGACCATTAACATTCCAATCCCTCGGGAATGTCCACAGCTAAAGCACTGTGACCGCAAGCCTGAACCATTCATTGCGTTATTGCAAGCGGCCTTTGAACACGATGATCGTCGCCGCCTTTTTAGTTGGCCAACCAACCACCTCCCTATATGCTGCATAATAAGTCGTGTCACGTCGCTGCTCTTCTTTGAAAAATAAAGTTTACGACAAGATTCAAGTTTTTGATGTGCAGTTGTTGGTCCTTGAAAGTGCTACCTGTTTCTGTAATTTGAAGATACATTTATTTTTTTCCCGGTAAGTTATCATGTCTTTTTTTGAAATTTTAATTGGCAATACATCATTTGTGAAATGTGATATTTTGGGAAATTTCACAAGTTTTCACACTGAAGGTATAGAGCATTTTGTTCGTCATGAAATGATTGTTTCAGTGATGTTGACCACATTGTTAGCCAGTATTAGCCAACTCCCGAAAAAACACTTTCAAAATCATTCATTTTTGGCGATGTATGACAACTGCGCATGCGTATTTCCATGGTGCTTTCCACAAGCAACGCAAACTCTTTCTGCTAGCATTTAAGTGAACGCGGATATCTTTTATATAGGGATTAGCATAGTGAGCGACTGAGCAAGTTGGCCGCCAGGTGCTTTCTATTGTTGCTTTAGAGCGCGGCGACGATCATGTATCACTTTGAAGTATTGAAGTTCTGACTTCCTCCGTTCATATCTCCATGATTTAACCAATCATAGGGCAGAGAAGTCCAGATTTCATAGGAGTCCAATTTTCAAATGACACCGGTAGTACATTCTTGTGAAATTACAGGTATAGGCCTAGGCCCTAAGATTTAAGATTAAGATGTGATCAATTATGGTTCAGACAATGTGTTTTTTATCAATTATTGATAAATGTACATACTTTGGCAATATCTGCATTCAACAATCTTGTGTGTATATATAGATGACAGCACATGACGCGCTGCATCACAACAATATTCCGTAATGCCTGCAAGTTTTGCGGCATGTTGTACAATAGTGTATTATTGTTCTCTCGTTGGTATTATTATACTTGCGTTGGACCAGTGTATATGGGATAATACACTGTTGCCATGGATCGACCAGTCAAGATCGATGATTCAAGTTTGCTTGAACCACAATTTAAGAATACAATAAAGCAAAAAATGAAGTTTAGTACACGGTACCCTGTGGAGACATGTGCATAACAGGGAACAAAAGATTGTATGCGTCTCCACAGGGCAATTTTTATAGGTGAATACGTCCCCACAAGGTTATCACGAATTAGATATATGAATTTACTCAAAAACTAGGAATTTCCAAGGTGTGTTGATCAGTCGCAAATTGAAGTATTTTATGTAAGGGATATTTAAGTCCGAATCTCAGCCCAGAAAACTAATTCTGGTTAAAATAGGAGAATTTCGAAACTACACTTTCAAACTCTAAACTTTTAGTACACGAGAACATAGAAATGACTCCAGAAGGATACAAATTCCAGTATGTGCGTGTCAGTTTATTCTTTAAAGTTTCATAATCATAGAAATGTTAAACTTTTTTTTAAATGGATATATCACGTTTTGGAAATTAACTATTCATGAACATGTACATATAGCACACGTGGTAGTAAAGACAAGCGAAACCGTAACCGTAATTTTAAAAAACTGCATAAGTTTATATGTACAATAACCCATTTAAATTGTGACTTTTCGTTTGGTTGTGCTTGTTACTATATCAGTCTTTGCTGTTTCTTCACCCTCTAGTATACCCTACCTGCAATTCTAATCAGTTCACGTGCCACACCGGATGTTGTATACCACTATCAAATCGGTGTGACGGCTTTGACCATTGCCGGGATAATTCTGACGAAGAAAATTGCCGTAAGTGAACTGTTTTCTGTCATGGTTGTTTTGTTATCCCCTTAACCATACATGTACCAAATGTGACCCACTCCACACAAAAAAAGAATTGAAGTCACTCTGTGCATTATCGTGTAATGGCCCGCTTAACGTTGAGAGGCTGAACATTTTGTCAAAATGTGATTTTAATTTTTTGTCATGACTGACATCTTTATTACCTACAGTTTCAGGGTTCATTCACACAAATGTTGATTTCGCTGAATAAAGTGGGGAAAAAATGACAATTTTGAGTGCATCGTGCCCTAATCTACAACAGAGCCAGCTATTTCAAAGCCTGTTTTCTCAGTTGTGTAACTTGAACTCCAAGGAAGTAATTAATATGCAAATACGTCTTATCTCCAGAATGGGAGGGGCTATGGAGCTCTATTACACACCAAATGAAAGCTAATGTCGTGGGCATACCAACCATGCATATAGCTCGATTTCCTTTTTTTTTGGCGACATAATACCCTTTTTTGTGGAGCCGGTCACAAATTGATAAGGTGTTTTTTAATACTTGCATGCAACTATTTAGTAATCGTTTTTTTTCTTAACTCTAAATTTCTTGGGTGTGTGAAAAAATCATATTAAAATCGAAATATTTAGGACTGAGAGAGTTAATCATTTAGTTTCAGCATGATTGCTTCCTGGCAGAAAGTAAAATAGTTGCGGTAAATCTTTTTTTAATAGATTTGGTAAAAACACTAGCTTAAGCCTTAATGTACAACATGACATGGTCAATGTAAATGTTAGCTGATTCAATTAATGAGATATGAGCGCTGTTAACGACTGTTATGGGTGTTACGCTTTAAGACATAGATTTTTGATTTTCAGTACGCATTGATAAAAGTCTGTGAATAGAAGTGTCTTGCAAGAATTCAATGCAATAACTATGTTTTGATATAGGTTCACTCTATAAAAACACCAATGACATGTTCACCAAAAAGGAAATTTGATGTTATGGAAACATCATGCTTTTGTTGTTACAAAAGAATCAACTTCAAACACGTGATTCAAAAACATATTGAATCATGCTATTCAAACTTCTGTATTATATTTTTGGCGAGCTGCGAAGCAGATGCGAGCCTATGTAATACCAATTTCCGTCCGTCTGTCCGGGCGTCCGTCTGTCCGTCCGGCCGTCCGGCCGTCCGCGTTCAGATAAAAATGTTGAAGTTTTTGGTTCTAGTTAACTTGGGGAAAAAAAATTAAATGCAGTTGTCATGTATCATCTTTATAACTTCAGTTAGGTTCATATCATTGCAGTAAATTTTATGATTTTATTGAGGAACTTTAATTCAAGGAAATGTTAAAGTTTTTAATTGTTACATGTACATGTATACTGGTATAACATGTACATGTGTGTATGCCGGTATAACATGTACACTATGCATTTTGGGGATGTGCATGAGCTTCTGGTTTGATCTTTTAGTTGATGGGGTTGGAGTAGGGATGGGGTAGGGGAGGGTGGGGTGGGGTGGGTTGGGGGATAGGGTTGGAGATAGGGTTTGTGTGAGTAGGATGAGTAGGGGAGCTAGGATGGGTGGGGTGGGGTGGGGTGGGGAGAGGGGTTGGAATACTGGGTTTGGGTGGGGTGGGGATTTGTAGGGGTGGGGTGGGAACAGGTAGGGAGAGACAGGTAGGGGGAGACAGGTAGGGGAGACAGGTAGGGAGAGGATGGGCATGGATGTAGGGGTTGGGTTAGGAGGGGGTTGGGCAGGGGGCAGGATATACCAGTAGGATCGGAGTAGGGGTTGGGTTGGGGATGTGTAGGGATGGGTAGGGATGGGTTGTTGTAGGGGTTGGATAAGGGGAGGGGCAGTGAGTACGGGTTACATGGGGTCAGGTGGGGATGTATGGGTGGGGGAATGGGGTGAGCGGGATATTGGAATTCGAGTAAGGGTTAGGATGGGGATGTGTAGGGTGGGTAAGGACAGATAAGGGAAGATAGGGTAGGTGGGTGTAGGGGGTTGTGGTAGGGGAGGGTACGGGTCAGGGGAGGGGGAAGGAGATAGGGATTGGAGTTTGGGTGGGGTTGGGATGTGTAGGTGATAGGGTGGGGATGGTTAGGGGAGGATGGAATGGGTTTGGGTAGGGGGTTGGGTGGGGGAGGGGGAGGGTTGGGGATGGGGTAAGGTTTTGGGATGGGGTAAGGTTTGGGGGAGGTGGTGATGGTGCTGTGTCTACATGTACATGTATACCCATTCTTGTTCTGCATTTGTGGCGACTACACAAGAGTTTTCCCATGGTAATACAAGTATGGGGAGCAGAAGACACTGTTGGGGCTGCAAAAATCCACAACTGGGTCCTAATTACCCTAACAATGGAAAACTCCCCCATAATACAGTGACGGCTAACCTATATACACATGTATTTATTAGGTAATCTGTTGACTTTTTATGTTGACATTTAAAAAGTGACCCCTACACCTAGGCACATTAACAAGAATCCTGATCCCCTTCCATCATGCCCATCCCCAACCCTACCTTCAGCCTCCCTTCCTGCCTTGGACAGCGAGCCATGGCGGCTTCGCCGTTCTAGTCATAAAATATGAACCTTTCTCTATGTCTTAAAAACAAAAATTAACAATAACACTTGCATTTTGCATATAAAAACAAGATACCAAAATGACTACCTAAAACCTATAAAGTTAGCCCCAAAACTAGGGTTTTCTTTAACAAAAAAAAATTCTCACTAGCATATCACTCAAATAAAAGACCTTGTCCTCTTTCATTTGATATCACATTTTGGGTTGTGATGCTTGTAGTTCGGAACATTTCACAAATTTTCCGCTTTTTCAACCATGTCCACTTTGCGTGGAATTGCTCTTCCCATTATCGCAAGCATATTTTCCACTGTCAATTTGGATAATTCTTTTCCCCTCCCTTTTCTGTCACAAACAAGCGTGTCCCGACGATCCTACCGGGATGACCGAATACTTCCAGTGTCTCAACAAGCAGTGCATTGTGTCAACCCTTGTGTGTAATGGTGTCCCCAACTGCATGGACAGCTCCGATGAGGGCAGTACTTGCGGTGAGTAATTGGCCCGGATTATCCAATAGGTACAGTGCCTAGGCCCTACGAAAAATTTGAGGGCGCCTATGAAAAATTTGAGGACCAACGAACTTACCATAGTGTGCCAATGGGCTTTCTGAGCTACCAGTTTGGCCTGGCTGCGAAAATTTTTTCCCAAACAAGATCGGATAATATCAAAAGAGGGCGCTTTCTCTCCACTTTATGCATATTCATGATATCCAGGGCTTTAGAGAATAAGTTATATAACAAGGAATAATGGTGTTTAAATCACCGACGATTGGCTGCTGATTCGTGGACTGGTTGGAAGTAGTCCTGACTTCTAATCAGATGATCCGAGATCGAATCTCAGTGAGCATTTTTCACTTCTTCTCAATTTACCTTTTAAATGACTAAAGTGAGGAAGGAACATATCTCACAAGATGTAAAGCCTATCTCGGGTTTTTGTTGTGGAGAACAATTAAGGCATTAGATATGCATGTAATGGACCAGGAGAATATTCTGAGGAAAACCCACAGAATCAAGTAGGGACTGAAAACCCGATCCACATGTGTTTTGGTTAAAAAAATTAAGAAAGTAGTGTTAATATTTATGGATTTAAAATGTAAAAGTCAACACTCTACTTTTAAAAAACTTTGAAAAATGAATACAATTTCTGCAAACTGCTTATTCTATCTGGATTGACCTGAAATGTGCAACTCAAGAAATCAGATGCTTGATGTTTTGACCCTGACAGGATCCTCTTCAAAGGCAAATATCATGTCAGGGTCGAAACATCAGGCTCTCACATTTTTGATTGAAAATATATTTTTATGACAATTGAGCAATGGAAAATAATAAGCCAATTCCATATCTCGATGAAGTAGTCCAGGGGAAAGGTCATTAGGGATAAAATCGCTGACGTGATGCTAATGTTACGCCATGTTAGGCAAACGCCCACTCTGCTCCAATTAATGTGTGAGCGTCGTGCGACCATCTCCTTATGCATTCATGGCCTTCGATGAGCATTTGATTATCTCAAATGACCCATGACCATAGAGCTGTATAATAAAGAACTAGAGGGCATACTTCCCATTAGCCGCAACGCTTTACCGCTGTGCGTGCACGGAGCACTGTCGGCCATTGCCAAACCGGGCAAACAGAGCGCGAAGTACCCGGATGTTGTACGCCGGGCGTACACAATACAATGTACACATGGAAGTGTAGAAAGTGCACGATCGGAATGTATACGGCAAAATTGTTTTTTACTGAGCTTTTAATTTGGGTTTTTTATTTGGTGAAAAATGAAAATTGTACCTTAACTTCCTGAACGCGGTGTATTAATCCAAACACCAAAGTTCCAGCAACAGACGGGGAATTCGGGTCGTCATCGTACTCGCAGGATTCACCACCACCGTAGGCTGCGACGTTGAAGGGGCTGGCCGGGGCGCAGGCACGGAAAAGGCCCGAGGTACTACTGACCTAAAAACAGGATGGTTTTTGTCAGATGATGTCTTGTTGATGGCTTATTTTTGTTCACAAATCGCTCTGTGTACAGTCTTCCATGGTGATACAGGACGGTTTTGATGAACAATTCGCTGATTCTCTTCACAAGTTGAGTGCCGTGATCGTCTTCCTCTGTCAAGTCCTGCTCAAGGAAATGCTCAGACAGATCAGCGAAAACCGATCCGCGAACTCTAAGTAACAGGTCTTGCTGGACAGATGTAATAAGAGCTGGAGAAGTTCCTAGTGGATTAGGCCTACTTTGCGTACCAAATAGCAAGTACTGAATCGATTGTTGCCATGAACCCTACCCATGCTGTCTTCCTCCTGCCCAAGCACAGTGATTGTCCTTCAGCATCTGTAAGGGCTTTCAGATATTTCTTTGTTTCCAGGAGCCATTTCTGTCTTGTCTCAAAGTGAGATGTTCTCATCGGACTCTTGTATCCCTTTCCTCTAGGGTGCTTGGAATTCATGAAATCAAACAGTTTGTCAACAATGCGTATGAACTCTGTGGTCTTCTTACTTCCTGCAAATTCAGCTAGGCAGAGATCCTCCCTCAAGAAGTCAATCGCGTCTGCTACAGATGAGCTCAGTGCCTGCACAGCCACTTTCACATTCATCTTGTGTTGTTGCCATAAGATGTGCTTTGCTTTCAACTTATTTGCAAGGTGCAAATTATCCTTTTGCTGAACTTCATACAATCTTTCGATGTACCTCCAAGATATCTCATCTCCGTCGTGATAAATTGTCCCCATGGTTGCTACACAGTTTCTAACCAACTTGATTAGGTGGCATGCATCAAATACAAAGTAGACATTTTGAGATGGATCTGATGGGTGAGGAAAGTGTGATCGCATTGCAGAGGGGGTGATCGAACAGCCCAACAGTGATGCTGTAGTCTGGTTTGCATATGTACCATCACAAACCACACCATGTACAACCACTCCTGCTTCTGTAAGTACACAAATAAGTTGCTTGATGATCTCAGCTTGCAATGCGGCAGAAAGGTGATCTGCTAGGTAAGTAAGCAACTGGATACTTCCAACTGCCAGTCAATCCTACAGCCATGAATACAAGGGCTTCTGTTGCAAGACTGTCTTCAGAAGATGCCAAGAGATTTCCACAGTCTATGAAACCAGCATACTTGTTGTTCTTGGGGTCATACACCACTTCCTTTTTAATTGCCATGGCATCAAGCACAATCATGCAGTGCTTCTTCAAGGAATCCTCAGCTGCCATTTCCTTGACATGATTTATGACTTCAGTCAGAAATCCTGGTTGGCAATTCAGGCTAGCGCTCCATTTACGAATTGTGCTTGGATGTGGGAGATGTAAATACTGTCTTACAAATTCATAGGCCTGGGCACTATAGAAATGCAGTGTGACTGCAAACTGCTTGACTTGCTCTGAGAACCTGTGACCATGTTTGTCTTTCTCCATTGATTTCAGCTCATTTTCGATCAGTGTGAATGTGTTTTCTCCAAAGTTAAGCTTCATCAACTCCAACTGTCCCTGGTTTATCATGTTTTGATCTTTGAGTGCTTGAAGAAGACTTGAGATTTTTTGACTTTGACGCTTTACTTTCTGTTTCGCCACTTTAAGTTCAATACGAACCTCTTGAAGTTTGTCGGTTGTTTCTTTTAGTTTTCCACTGACTGAACTTATTGATGTAGCATACCTGTGCTCTTCTGCAATATGAGCAGCTTTTTTGGGAGGTTGTGGGCTAGGATCGGCTGCAGTCATCTTTCTTTTAGGTGGAGGCCTCTTGCTTGCTTGCTTCTTTTGCTTATGTAGCGGGAAAGCCGGGAAAATGGAGGGTATTGCAGACTCCCTGAGTTCATGCTGAACAACTTCCTGGTCATCTCTGGGATGTATACCTGCAAATGTTAAGGAAATTTTTTGCATGTTTAATATCATATTTGTAATAAAGAATATAGAGTTATCTTTCATTTAATGAAACTTTTTGTTTATTTTTATTACCAAAGGATCGAGTCTAAGGAATAACTGAATGGCCAACAACATTTCTGTCACTAAATTATCCATACACAATGTGAAACTGATTGGATCCCAAGCTAAGGAAAATCAGTAGGTAGTAGGTACATGTAAGGTTTAGCTTGAACAATTAGTTAAATATTGCAAGTACATCACTGGGTTCTGTCCCTTCCCACACAACTATTCACTCGGAAATTTTGAAACGACAAGAACACTGATACAAGTAGAATGCTGCTGTAAATATTTATCTTCTGGGATTGCCTGCAGCTATGTACACATCAATATACCTCTTACGTAGTCATCCTTGTCAAAATGTTCACTACATACCAGATGATACTTGGATGGACAAAAGTCAGCTCTGCTGATTGCTGCCACCCACTTGCTTAGTAGAGTCTGCTTTCCAAGAGGGAATCTTAATATAAAAGAAAATCACCCAAAATAATAAATAACAAGGCATATTTTCAATCACCCAATTCCAAAACAGATGTTCATTTGTGTATCACTGTTTTTGGTTTGCACAAGTGGCAAGTTGTGTCAATTAAATAAGCTCAATTAAAAGCAGAAACGACTGATTGGCATTGGCGTAGACCCCCCCATGAAAAGTCATTGCCTCCCCCAACCCCCGAAAATTTGCTAGTCCTTTTTCGTGAGCAGCCTTTTTTTTTGTACAAGTGCCCCGTTTTAACGTCATGTAAACATCTTAAGAATTATGCTGCTCTGAAGAGGAAAAATGACCGCATTGCAGGATGCCCCATACTAGAAAGATGGTGTCTAAGTATTTCTTAACAAAATTGCAAATGTTTCTCAGTCCCAAATTCATGTTTTATCATCTTTTTTGCAATAAATGACCTTCATTGAGATGATTATAAAGAAAAAAGTGGCGTCAGGTTGCAACATTTTTTTCCTTTGATATTTTGAGGGAAACTTGGGGGAAAAATGACGATGACAGCGCGGCGACAACACGCAACCCAAAAATAAAAGATGGTGAAACACCACGCGATGTACATGTACCATGACATGAGCACACACGGTGCGCTGAACAGCTAAATCGCAAGGCACAAACTGCACAGGAAAATCGTGATTTCTACCCCAAGAAACTGTTCAAAATTGCAAAACGGGTGTCATTAGAATTGAGAAAGGGCTGCTTTTGATTGTGTAAAGGTGATTTTTGAGCAATACAAAATATTTTTGACTCTAATTTGATCAAAACAAAACAGGGGCCCTACACTACACTACATGATCGCCGGCCTACTCCACAATCCGCGAAATTCTGCCCAGTTTTCGGACACCATAACATTTTCCATTTTTAGAATGTTTTAGGCCTAGTTAGATTAATGATTGTAGGGCCTACTCACTTATGAAATGAAACACCACCCCCTTCTCTCGCCGGTTCGTGCAGCCAAAGGCTGCACAACTTTCTGGCATTTTTCTGGGAAAGCCGAGCGATAGTTGAGCAACGTGCAGGACGAACCGTAGATTCACGTACGTAGGCGCACGATCGATAGCTGAACAAACGTTTTTGCCCGGTTTGATAATGGCGGTGCGACGTCCTTGTCGGCACAGCGTACAGGTGAGTACGCTATGCCCGTGACCCAGATCATTGTGTGCATGCGCAGTTGAAATACCGAACTGGCTTATTAATTATCAGCAATGTATTCAAGGCCCTTCTTTGTCGCATTGATCTTTTGTCCTGTAGGCATTAATGAGTGTACCACTAACCCGTGCCAGCACAGCTGCGTAGACACGCCGTCGTCCTACATGTGCTTGTGCCCAGATGGTTACGTCTTAGCGGATGACCAACGTAACTGTGTCGGTAAGTATCAGTCGTAGAATGGGGCAAGAAATTTGGCAGGGGTGGGGGGGGGGGGTTTGACATCTCGGAGGGGGGAGGGGGAGAAAAAGGAAAAATCAACTTATTTTTTAATCGAAGTAGATGGCGTTTTGTGACTGCTCATGAGAGCTGTATGGAAAGGACACATTGCGTGACTCCGCACAAATAACTTCAATCTGAATGGAATATAAAGCCTGCACTCGATTTCACGAAACTCATCGTAACTTACGAGGCATTGCAGCACTGTGCCGCGTCACATCGCTATGATATGTCGCAGCTGCGACGCATCCTGCGATTCATTTCACTAGGTGAATTTATAGCACAACACTGACTGTTGTATATGTATTTAATCGGCGTACAGTAAATAGTCGTCTGATATTCAACAAAGAGTCGTTGGATCTCCTCGAGAGAAGTTCTTAAAATGTAAAAGACGATGTGTGATGCAGTTTTAAAGGAAAACAAGCTAGTGGTAGACTGTATAGCTACTTTGAGATTTCAACTGCAATACTTTATGCTAATTCATTGTTATTTCAATGCATTTTTCATTTACAACTTTAAACACATCGTCTCAGTATTACGTCTCGTTTATGCAATTTTTATGGCATAAAACTGGCTAAAAAAGGACGCTTCTTATTTTGCGATGACCACTAGAAATGTTGTAACTTGCAACGTGTTTTAAGTCGTCGTCAAGAAACTTACAACGTGTTCAACACCTTGCAAGTTTCATGAAATGGATCATTAGGCGCAGCGTGAGTCGCGACGTGTTACATGTCGTAACTCGTGTTGCGACGCGTCGCAGCGCTTCGTGAAATCGAATGCTGTATCATCTTTGCATGAGCGTAATGCCTTGGAGTCCCTCTTTGCATCTGATACAACCATTTCTAGATGACAACTGAGTGAACATGCAAGTGTTTAACCCAAAATGTAATAAATTTAGAGTCCCGCAACACTGACATATTTAGATGCTGTTACCTATCAAGCATGCTTGATTTGCAAACTTCCACGTTCTTTATGTCCTTTTTGCAATAGACCTAAACGAGTGCGTAGAGACGCCTTGGCTGTGTGACCAGGTCTGTATGAATAGTGAGGGAAGCTACGCGTGCTCTTGTGCACAGGGCTACACCCTGTCTAGTGACGGCTACAACTGTACTGTCAACCAGGGTAAGTTGTGTGTGGAGTGCAGTGGCCTCGTGGTCTGGAGCATGGAATTTGTGGTCTGCGGGTAATTCTGCAGGTTGTGGGTTCGAGTCCAGCCTGGGGTCATGGTGCATGTGCCCAGTGGCAAGGTACTTTGTCGCGCATTGCTTCTCTCCACCCAGAAGTAAATGGGTACCTGTGAGGGCAGAGATGGTTATTGATTCTAGCTGCTTTGCCCAGAAATGACAGCATCGAGCCATTTACTCCCCAGGGAGCTGAGATTGTCTTTGGAATGTTTCATTGGCCCAATGAGCAGGTTAATATTGATGTAGCACCTTGATAAGTACCAATACTTGTGGATACTTGCGTATTATCAATACACATTATTATTATTAGTTGCACACACAATGTAAACTAATTTTAAAGTTGAAGAAAGAAATTGCGGGGTTTGAACCTCTGACCTCCGGATCACTGTTCCAGCACTCTATGAACTGAGCTATCCAGCTCTATGTTGACGGTGCCCCATTTTTTTAATGTCTTTGTTTAATATAAACTATTACATTTGCATTCCCAATGCAATTTTTGTGAGTTTCTTCCCGAAAAATAGCAATAGTACAAATGTTATTCACTTTTGAATGAGACATCAACAGAAAAGAAAATCAGCCCACGAGTAGTTACTGAGTTATTACTTTACATGTTTCTAATTTACTTATATAATTAGATCTAATTTATCTAATTTTACTAATTTACTCTAATTTAGTTCTTGCGAGGTAGGCTGGTTCCTGCCCCACAATCGTTATCAATAATCTACAGACCAGGAACCAGTCTGCTTGCTAGGGTAGATCTGTTTGTGTCCAAATAAAAATCTTTGTTTATGTTGGAATAAAACAAACAGTTTAATCCGTTTAAAGAGCACGGGAATTCAACTTTAAAGGAATTTGAAAATGAACCTTTATGCTGATGTCACATGACACACGATGATGTCATCATGACATCACATTGTGCTTGTGGTACACAACTTAAGTGTGTCATTGTCTGTTTGCCAAGCTTGATGAGGAAAACGAGCCTTTTAATATGAAATTGTCAAAGTGCCTTCCAGAATAAATTGATGTACAAAATCTAATGGGATTTTAGTATTAGAAGAACCAAAAAAAAAAACACACGAAAAAAAAAGAACCAGAACACAAAGTAGGTCATTTCCATGTGAATAACGTTTGTTTTGCTAGAAAAATACAATTTAAAAACAAAGTTTATTTTCTGGATGAAATTTCAAAAATAACACTTTAAAAGGGAAACCCACCTAATCAGGCAGGGACTGAAAACCAAACCCAATCCTTATGCTGGCCTGGGCGAGATTCAAACCTGGGTCATAAGGGTGGAAGGTGCGAGAAAATACCACTGCATCAACCAGAAATTTCAATCAGGATGGAGGGTGACTAGAAATTGCATCTTGCAGTAAATCAGCTTTTTTGTTTGTTTCTTGTGTCCAGGGGGCGAGCCTCACCTCCTCTTCGCCAACCGCTACTACATCCGTTGGATGGACGTTGGGGTGGGCTCTCAGGATAGGCGCATCGCGCAGGACTTCGATTTGGTTATGGCTATTGACTATGACTACACGGGCAGCAAGGTATACTTCTCCGACGTCGAAGCCCGGGCCATCATGCGGATGGACGTGGACTTGGTGAGCGGGATCGTACTAGGCAACTTGGAGACCATCCACAACCATTCCATCTTCAACGTCGAGGGACTCGCAGTTGATTGGGTCACCAAGTAAGGCCAAAGCCTCATTGGACAAATAATCCTATTCACCATGATATTCGTTATACAATGGTTGTCTGCTGTGATGTAGAACGTGGCATTTTGTGCAATGGAGGCGTGCAGCTGGCACCCTTGGCGAACCATTTTCTTGTGGTGTTGTGCAAAACCTGCTAGTCAATCACAAGGCAATCACAAGTCAATCACAAGTCAATCACTAGTCATTGACAAGGCAGACACAAGCCAATCACTAGTCAATCACAAAGTAGTCAGTTAATGGTCAATCACAAGGCAGTCATAAGTCAGTCACTGGTCAATCACCGTGAGGCAGTCACAAGTCTATCACTAATGAATCACAAGGTAGTCACAAGCCAATCACTAGTCAATCACAAGGCAGTCATAAATCAGTCACTAGTCAATCACAAGGTAGTCACAAGCCAATCACTAGTCAATCACAAGGCAGTCATAAGTCAATCACTAATGGATCACAAGGCAGGCAGAAGCCAATCACTAGTCATACAATCACAAGGTAGGCAGAAATCAGTCACTGGTCATTCACAAGGCAGTCACAAAAACTAGTCAATCACAACAGTCACAAGCCAATCACTAGTCAATCACAAGGCAGTCATAAGTCAGTCACTAATCAATCGCAAGGCAGTCACAAGTTAATCACTAGCAGGGGTGTGAAATCCCAGCCTTAAAGCTGATTTCAGCTTTTTTTTGTTTTGTATTTCAGCTTTTTCCCCCCACTTGCTGTGTACAAAAGTATAGGAGATTTCCAAAGTTCAGCTTTTTTTGTATACCTTTTCAGCTGTTTTCAGCTATTTTTATCAGTGGTCACTCACACCCCTGCACTAGCCAATCACAAGGCAGCAATAAGTTTGTTTGAATAGCTTGTCACTTGGCATGAATAAATTGTTGTTTGAGACTGAATAAATTGTCCCCTGATGATTTCCATTGTCCCCTGATGATTTGCTACAATTGTGATTAGATTGACTATAAACGCTTGCAAGAATCGGAATTACTATGATGTGGCAATTGTTCGTTTTGTTTCCAGAAAGCTGTATTGGACGGACAAGGTCACTGATTTGCTGGAGGTATCAGAGCTGGATGGTAGCAATCGTCTGTCTCTTCTCAGCTCCGGTCTGTTTGAGCCCCGTGGTTTGGCCTTGGATCCCCAAAATGGGTAAGATCAGATTACATCTCAGGCTACCCTTTCGCTAGTCTACTAAGCATGTACTTTACAAAGCAATCATGGAACTAGTACACAGGGGTAATGCGCATTCGCGAACATCACCCTGGCTGCAGTAAAAGATGGGGGCGCACACGAAGTAACGTTTCGCGGAGGTCACTGATGCGTTACTTGACTTTATTTTGGTGAATATACACTCAACCAAAAAAGAAAGTCCCCCCTTCAAATACTTGTTGTCTAACTCAAAAACTACTGAGCACCTTTTGCTCAAATAACAACTAATCAGTACAGAAATTCCTTAGCAATCCTGCCATACTCTTTATTTGGGCCAAAACAGTGAAAATATGTACGTAATTATGCAATTTAAGATAAATGATAATGAAAACAGTTGCACGTTTGTATAAGTGCAAGTTGCCGTTCACACTCACCTTGCACGTATACAGAAGTGCAACTTTTTGGTGGGTTCCATTTGTCATAAATTGCATAATTTTGTACACATTATGACTGTTTTGGGCCCAACAAAGAGTATGGCTGGATTGCTAAGGAATTTCTGTTCAGGATCAGTTGAAATTTGAGAAAGATGTGCCCAGCAGTTTTTGAGTTAGACAAACAAGTATTTAGGGGTACTTTCTGTTTTGGTTGAGTGTATGTATAGGGTATGAAGTTAAATCGGTATTGGAAGTTGACAGACCAGTTCCGTTGACTTCGCCTCAGGAATTAGTCTGTCAACTTCAAATACCTTGGGGTGATAATATCGACTATCAACCCTCAAACCGTGTTATATTTGTATATATCGGTATTGGAGGTTGACAAACTAGTTCCCGAGGCAAAGTTTGTCAACTTCTATTACCAAGGGGAGCTGATATCAACTATCCACCGGGAAACCATGTTGTATATTAGCCAAGCACTGCCTGAGAGCAAGTGGGCAACTTGTGAATCATCACGTTTTATGACCTGATGATTTCCTTGGCATTAGGTATGTCTACTGGTGCGATGGGGGGCTGAGGCCATACATCGGCCGACTTGGAATGGACGGAGCCAACAAAATGGAACTCCACGATGACAGAGTTACCTGGCCCAACGGCCTGACCATAGACTACACGTCGGGGATAGTTTACTGGGTTGATGCCCATTTGGACTACGTGGCGTAAGTTTCTTAAAATAGGGAAACTTTGGAAAATAACTAACTTCAATAATAATAATATATTATATAGGGGAGTGTGGCCTAGTGGTTAGGATTCGTGACTCGTGATCAGAGGGTCAGGGGTTCAAATCCAGCTGCTGGCCATACGTTGTGTCCTTGGGCAAGCCACTTCATCCCTACTTGCCTCCCTCCACCCAGGAGTATAAATGGGTACCGGCATTAGCTGGGGAGTAACCTGCGATGGACTAGCATCCCATCCAGGGGGAATAGAAATATTCACAGTCATTTCATGCTACTGAAATCAGAGATAAACGCAAGCCTGATGGGCCACATTGGCTCGTGACAGACTTTAGTTATATTATCCCCTCCGTTCACAAGTACCTCACCGGCAAGGAAAGTACAGTTGGGGTTGACCGATCGACGCCATCTTACCTGACTGCAATATTTTGCTGCTAAGCCCGGCCACTGCGCGTACATAGTACAAATCCCCTGGTGTACGTATGTCACCCACAAGGATCGGTGTGTGCGTGTCAACCAGCGAAATGTATGTGTCCCGCCCATGGGATGTCATTGCTACGTTAAAGGGCGCCCTCTTTCGTTGGCGCACAGAGCCCATATAGTGCTTAATTATCTTCAAGCAAACTTGAATCCTCCATCCTGATTGGTCAATCCATGGCAACAACAGTGTGATATTTTACCTAATAGCACGGTCGATATCGCACTCTGCGTATCACGCTTTTCCAAGAAGCGTGCGCCATTCCTTCCTGGGATAAGTGCTGAAAACCTGATAACCATGTGCGTGTTCCATCTGTACTCTGTGTCGAGTGTAAGTGCATATCTGTGTCCCACATAACATCGGACATAGACCCACATTATTCCGTGGAAAAAGAACTTGTTCCTTTTGAAGAACAGAGTTACATGTCTTATCCCCTATCGCGATAAACACCATTTTGATACATTTTCAAATGTCGCCCTCTTTTGGTTGCACAAAGTCAGTTTCAACGGCCTGTATATAGTTAAACACAATTTAAGAATGCAGTCAACCGAAAAAAAAAAGCTGAAATGCTGCATTTGTTCTATATGTTTTCACAACCGTGCAACTTTTTTGTGTTGTTCCAAATGGATATATCACATTTTCATACATGTCTTCTCTAAATTGCACCAGCTACTCGGATCTGAACTTCCAGACAATCCACCAACTTCTCCACGACGACGATCGACACACCGTGGCCCACCCCTTCGCCATCACCGTGTTCGACAAAACAATCTACTACACCGACTGGAACCTAAAGAAGATCTTCAAGGCGAATAAGTACAGCGGGGCGGAGGTTGAGCTCACTAGCACCATTCATCGGCCGTTTGACATCAAGGTGGTCCATCCACTGCGACAACCCCATAGTGAGTTGACCCAATTGGGACCTAGCTGTAATGGCATAATGAGGAATAACTCCCATCATTAACTTTTTGAAGAGCAACTCTGTAGCATATTAGCTACGGCTAGTACTCACATGTGGCTCTAAGGGAAGTGGCCTCAGCAGAAATTGAAAATAAGGTTAAATGGGACACAAAAGTGCATTTTGATGGATTACATTAAAAAATTACACTGCGTGGGCCCATTAATGTCCAACATATCGTCACTGTTTTCACGAAGAGCCACGTCCATATGTCAAAAATTACCATTTTTTTTTGATTTTGAATTTTTTCAATATTTTGCATTAAAACAATGTACTTAACCATTTTGACATGTTTCTGTAAGCAAAACATCTTTAATATCCAAGTTACATTAATGTTGCAAGGGGCAGAAATCTCGATTAATGCATTTTGCGTTTTCACGAAGAGCCACATAGGCCTACATTTTGGCCCTTTGAACGCGTACAAAACCCATTGCACGGAAATACGTAAAAGTAGGTCAAATGAGATTTCCATTTTCAAGAAGAGCCACATATCTTTGTTACATTTTCAGCTGCGCGCGCGTACTCACGTGCACCTATGGAAATACACATTGAACAGAAAGGGCCAATATGTCGGAAACCTGAATTTGCGTTTTCACGAAGAGCCACTTATCTTTACTAATTAATTTTTACCAATTAACTGCTGTATTAAGTCTTATTACTGCGTTGTAAAAATTCAGCTCTCGTAGATTCGTGTGATGGTTTCCTTGCTGCTCAAAGTTGTTGCAAAGTAGTATGTCTTGCAGTTTTAAAATATGAGAAACTTCTTTTGCGATTATCTCGAAAACACTTTTCTTCAAAATTAACATAATATATATAGTATGTGGCTGTTCGTGAAAACAGTGATGATATGAGCACAAAAGTCTGACATGCATGCACGTGCATATGACGCTTGCGACTGGAGTATGCAGTGCAGCTTTGGCCTAACGCACGTTGGGCTGAATGGATTGGTCTATTGCTGACGCCTTTGTCTGCTCTCTTCGTGACCAGTGACCAATATCTGCAAGCCAAACACCTGCCCTGGACTGTGCCTGATTGCCCCTGGAGGTAATGCCTACACCTGTGCCTGCGCAGAGAACTACGTCCAATCTGGAAGCTATTGCATACCGCGATGCCCGGCAGGACAGAATCCCTGTACTGGAGAAGACAAGGTACATTGTAAAGAAGTTGTTCACTGCCGGAAGAAATTGCATCGGTGCAAAGGCAACCGTGAAAACAAATTTGTTACGTCACGTAAAGTATTCGTGCCGCAAATTTGCAAAAGTTGAGCACATTTCAATTCCGGTGAATATCGCAGCGAATGTCTCCTGACATCAAATTTGTTTTGCTTTCAAAATCATTTTTTAATTTGAACAGGCCTTCAGACGTATACAAAAAATCCTATAAAGTGTCTTGTGTTGGCTTAAGTTTACTGAAAGTTGAGGCAGGGCTAGACTTTTATTATCTTCACTCAAATATCACGTCTCACATTCTCATTTTTGGACACATTTGAAAAGCGTTCACTGCACATAAAAAAAATGCAATTTTGAAAATTGCATCAAAAAAACTTTTCCCTTTAAACATTGTATTATAAAGAGGTCAAATTTTTGAATGGGGATGTTTCAAAGGGTGTGAAACCCAAGATTTTTGGATGGGTATATTTCAAACTTCTCTGAATTTCAAGTCTGCTTGAAGTCTTTAAAAAACTGTTGTCCGGGCAAGATGCCAAAAGAAATGGTAGAAATCACCACGTGCACCGTTACGGGCCGCACCCCAGTCTGGGAACATTAGCGTATGAGCAAAAAGGGATGGGGATACGGGCTGTGTGGGCTCCTTGCGCCAGCAAAAGAGGGCGCGTTTTTACCTCTTTTGAGAGCTCCGTGGATGGGACACACAGCATGCGCGTACTGTACTACAGTACTGGTTCGCTTGCAAAGAACGCATGACTTCCTGAATGTGCACAAAGCTAAGCCAAAGCGTCTTTGTGCGTGAGCGTCAGGCAACGTCAGGGCTCGAAAATGTTTGAATTCAACTTTCTATGAACTTCGAGACTAATCCCCGCCTCCAATAACTTTGGTTACATTCGAAAAATGCAGTGGATGGATCGGGAACCAGTCTAGGTCACCCCCAACTCTCCTTTTCTGGCCGTTGATGGGGTTTTGTGCACGGAGCCCATATATCGAAGGGCATTATGATAACAATGTCCATGGCCGACATTTACAAATGTATACGTTGGCCATGCCAATGTTTTTGATGTATATTTCTACATTATTTTTAATGGAGCATCAAAAAGTTGGGGGGGGGGGTGTGCAGAATTCCTGATTTGCTAAACCTGGTTGGGGGGGGGGTTATAAACTGACAGATGAAAATTTAAGGGAGGGTGCCATTTGTTCTTTGTTGTGCTGTGTGATGCCTTTCCTTTTCACATTGACTTAATTTGTTTTGTTTCTTGGGTCAACAGTGCATACCATGGTACATGCAGTGCAATGGAGTTGAGGACTGTAGAAGTGGCAATGACGAAATAGGCTGTCGTAAGTATTAACCTGTAAAATCAATGTTGAAATGGGCTGTTGTAAGTGTAAAATCAATGTTGAAATGGGCTGTTGTAATTGAAGTATTAACCTGTAAAATCAATGTAGCCAAAAAGAAAAATTTGCAGTGATCATGTACTTTTAAAAAGAATCCATGGTTATGTTTTTGTCTTTTTCGAATGCACAGCTCCGCGATCCTGCCAGCCAGGCGAGTATCAATGCAACGATGGTTCCTGTTTGACATCCATCCTGTGGCTGTGTGATGGCGACAGAGACTGCCCAGATAACAGCGATGAAGGCACACAGGCCCAATGCAGTAAGTTCAAGGGCATATATACAACATTTGCTTTTGCTGTAATTTTCAGAAATGGATGGATATGGGGGTTAGTAATTTTATAGCAGATATTGTTAGATCTGTTTGAAGTTTTGGGTTTGTAGATGCTGGAAAAACAAGAAAAAAAAATCATGTTCTTGTTAAGTCTGGTTGCCTGACCCCACTTTTGATGAAAGGGAACAAGTTATAGTTGTCAGGAAATTGTAAGGTCAGGGAACCAGTCTACCTGGCTTGAAACCGTTCATAGGTGTGTAATCTATTGCAAACAAAATGGCGCCTAACTAAATGTGATAAATTGGGAGCAGTATTTGACAAAAGCTAGTTTTTTTCTAATGCTGGTCGGCCAACCAGTGTTGGAATTGTTACAAAAATACTGCTTTCTTGAAAATGTCAGCCCACCCGGTGCCATGATTTTACAGGATGCTTTAGACTATCATTCACTGCATCCTTAAAAAATAGCTGGGGCGCAAAAACAACTACTCGATCGCAGCGGCAACTACATAGGTCGCCAAATAGGCGCTGGAGGGCCTTAATGGTCTCTGATGAGTGCCAACGTTTTTGAGCATGCTCAAAACAATCACAACACCTCTGTGCTCTGGCCAGGGCGCCGTAATGACATAACTCGGGCGCTGTGCAAGCATGAATCGTTCGACATTGAAGTGGCATTGAGGCAGCCTAGGCGCAAGGCAGTCGATGTGGTCTCCGTAAGAAAGTAACTCCACTGCGATGAACTTGTAGAATAATTTTGAAACTGGACTGTGGCTTGACCATTTTGTCGTGGTATTTATACAGCACAAGTGACGTCACGTGAGCGTATTTTGGTCGGATAGAGAGCGCGACGCGAGCTACTAGGAGGTATCAACAGCAAGCAGAGCGTAGTGTGAGCGCATTGACGGCCCAGCGGCAGCGACTAGATCGAGTAATTCGGCTTGACAGGACCGCATAGAGAGCGAGTTGAGCGCATCGTAAGCGCGGGATGACCACAGTATGAGCGTAGCTTGAGCTACTTTCTGGCCACTTGAGACAGAAAATTGTTATTTTCTTGTGTCCTCGCTGCAATTGTTAAATTTATTGGTCGCCGTAAAGTCTCCTATGAGAGCGCATATAATGTGACAGGCGCTTAACAGTCCAGTAAGGTATTTCGTGATAATGTGGTAGTTTTGTTTTTTGATGTTTACAATTAATGTTGCATATTCCCTTTAATGCAAAGACCAACTCCAATGATGAATGAAAACGTATAGGTTCTGTGCGTGAACCAGAGGGGGCGTTTTAAATACAACTGTGTGGTGTGTAGTGGACGTACTGCTTCGAGTGCATACATTATGAAAACTAGCGTGCATCTGGTCCCCGGATTTTCTACACGAAGCTTTAACATGGTCAAACCTCTCAAAATTGAGGCACTTTTGCTCTAACAAACGCTGTATCTTTTGAACGGAACATCGTATTATTTCGGGGTGAACGGAATATGAAAGAAATAAGCTTTATGATTGTGTATGTTTGGTCAACATTTTTTGAAAAACCAGGGATCATTTTTTTTTCAAAGATTTGCACTCCGCCAGATTTGTCTATGGCAAGCATGGAAAAACAGCCCAAACGGACATGTAGTTATTTAATGACCCGTCGTCTTTATCTTGACATAGCGCGATAACCCAAGGTCGTCACACTTTGGGGTGAACGGTTTTGTAAAGCGGAAGAGTCCCTCTTTCTTCCATGTAAAATTCATTGTGATTGGTGCTAAATCCAGGGATCATTTTTCTCTCAAAGTTTTCGTCCAATAAGCACTTTTCTTACAAAAATGACCCTTGAAAAGCCTTGTACATGTATAGCCGAGCTACACGTGTTCAGCTTGGGACCGTTCCACTTGAATAATGGGTACGAATCTGTCAATAAACAGTGACCAATAAATGACATGAGATCGATGGGAGCTTTAAATGTCCTGTAGTACATAGTAGAAAGTATAAATATAAAATAATGGAGTCCTTAAATATAAAAATTATTATACAAGGTTTTTTTTTCTGACGAAACATCATTTTCGTTTGGTTTAACCACTGATAAACATCGACAGTCTTTGTTCGCCCCTATTGCATGTAATGGATCAATCCAAATCCCCCCAGTTTACCAGTGTTGAATGTGGTGCATGTACATGTATGTATGTATATGTGCATGTATTGCAGGGCAACTATATAGGTACAGCGTGCATGGCTGTATGTTGGCACTCACACACAGAGCTTTGGCGCTTTTGGGGTCAAAAGTTTTCAGTATGTAGCACCAAATACGCACATTATTAATATCATCGGCAATGCGTTCGACTGTCTCTCCCAGCAGTCTCCCCAAACTCTCCATTTCTTGCCGTTGAGGGGGTACTTGTGCATGAAGTCCATACTTTACGATTTTGCTACACGTTAGTAATTTCTAAGAAAAAAAAGAAAAAAAGACCTCGGTTCGAATCCCGCCTGGGCCAATATGTGGATTGGGTTTTCAGTCCCTACCTGATTCCGTGGGTTTTCCCCAGAATATTCTTCTGAGCTTTTCCTTCCACCTCAAAAACTGTAATTTCTTCTCATTGTCTTCTCTCCACAGGTTTCTTCAGGCTTGCGAGCTACAGTGCCTAGGGTGCTTTTGAGGAATCCGTGGTTTCATTAACAGAAATGATTAATAATAATAATAATAATAAAAAAGAAAAATCACACACGCACAGTTATATTTAAAAAAAATTGATTTAAAAATAAGCATGGTGAAGTCAGCAATTAATGTACACAAGTCGGGCTTTTGGTAAACCTGGGTCTAGATAAATTTGTCTCAAAAATTCTTCATTGCTTTTAAGGTACGACGGAATGCGCAGCCTGGCAATTCAAATGCGTGGATTCGGGACAGTGCATCAGTCGACGATACGTTTGTACCAAACTTGATTATTGTGATGATGGCTCAGACGAAGCGTACCCGTTGTGCTGTAAGTTTCTGCTCTTATAAAGGGTCCATGAAATGAATTTTTCTGAGGAAGGCATTTGTGCAACTTTCTACTCCTCTTAAATGTATGAAAACTATTTGACATTCATTTTTGGCTAATTTTTATTGAGAAGTGCACTTCTTTTAAACATTCAAAAATTGTCCATGCTTTTCCAACTGAGGGCGTTGTTGTTGTGATGTCATTTCAGGAAGACATCGTTCAGTTTAGGGGTTTTCTGTTCAAATTGTGAACCCAAACATTTGTTCATTGAAAACATTTACGAGAAAAGTTTGCTCATTGGCTTACTGCCATGTACTGACACAACAATGAATCACCAAAGAACAGACAATTTACAACAGCAGAAATATCCACAATTCTGGCAACTTTTTGTGCTGAAATATCTGCAACATTGAGGTTTCAGCCTGAAATAACATCACAATTTTGCTCATGAATATGAACACTTGCATCAGCATAAAAAACAAAAATGGCACCAAAATACCCTTGAAAATGGCAAAACGAAAACTGAAAATAAGGTAAAATGGGACACAAACAGGATTGGCGATTTCATTTTGATTTTCTTTTTTAAATCAAAAAAATTCGATTTGTTTGATTTAAATCAGATTTTTTTTATTTATATCAGATTTTTTTTGATTTTTATATCCTTCAAAATATTGATATGTCTAAAAATGTGTCTCAATCTCCCAATGCACCCTTACACCCATCACTAAGGAGATTACAGGTTCCTATACTTGAAGGAACAGATTTCTCTCATCTGCGTCCACTGCCTAATGGTATTTGGTGTCCATTTTGCCTACTGTAGTGACTCATGATTGCGTAGAGGGGTTTTTCACCTGTGACAATGGATACTGCATTCCTGAGGATTGGAAATGTGATCTGGTCAACGATTGTGGTGACGGATCTGATGAGCCTTACCAGGAATGCCGTAAGTCACCCTCCCCCTGCTCAAGACTGACTCCGCCCCCATTCATTCCTACACTGCCCCGCCTAACACCTCCACCTGTGCCCCTGTCCCATTCCACCTGTCCACACCTCACTTGAAACCTTTCACCCACTACCCCTTCCCTATGCTGTCCTTCTCCTGCCCGTCCCTTGCCCACTTGCCTCTGCCCCACCCCAGCCTTAACCCCACCCCTAGCTGCCCCTGCCCCACTCAATCCATACACCAGCCTTCGCCTGTCCAACCCCACCTCAGTTTCTCTTATCCTGTTCATCCTTTCCCATCCCACCCCATCCCACCCCACCCCAGCCCACCCCAGCCTAGCCCACCCCACCCCACCCCACCCCATCTCACCCCACCCCACCCCACCCCCTCCCATCAACACACCACCTCATAACCAATCAATCCCTCCCCACCCCACTCCGTCCCACCCTACCTCTAAAACAGTTCTGAAACAGGCCGGTTCTATTGCCCACGAATGACTTCTGCAACCTCAAACAATCTTACTTTTCCAAATTTGCAAGATTCGCAAAATGTATTTCTTAAACTGTTTATTTCAAATTCAGCGTGAATCAATGCCCTTTGTGCATTCATTACGTGTATGTACCATTCTTGAGCTGGCCAGAGGTTGATCCAGGGGGTGCAGAGGGGGCGCCTGCCCCATTGGTAGTGACCAATATAAGTCCATCATTCAGTTGAGAGAGCCCCTATTCCCCCCCCCCCCCCCCCCCCCCCCCGGCACACTCTCTGCCTCCCGGCAGTAACCTCTGTGGATTCGCCTTCACTGACACTATCATATTCTTCAATAGGCCTAAGACGTAATGACGTCACACTTTGTTTACATGTGCCCTTTCCTATGTAGTAGATGGACCCCACTTTATCTGGCGTCCCGACTTCGCTTTCATAGGAAAGCGCATATGTAAACAAAGCCATTACGTCATTACGTCTCAGGTCTATTTCATATTTTGTTTTTTTGTGTCAGTTTACCCCACAATTTCCCTCTGAATTCGAAACCGGGCCCTCTTTCCACAACATTCCTGATACTTTTCAATATTGCCGGCTATTTTCTGTGAGCCAGCAACATAAAAGTGTATTGTTGTCTCGGGAATAGGGTTCTAAAGTATACTTTTACCTACGTACATGTAATATCCTCCCTTTTGTTCATTCAGAGAATACCCCCTGCCCACATGGTTGGATCCGGTGCCAGACCAACTACAGGTGTATTCCAGAATATGCTCGCTGTGACACATACGATAATTGCCACGATAACTCCGACGAAGTTGGTTGTGGTGAGATTATTTGATATCAGATATGAAACAAATATATTGCTATACAACACCTGCCGCTGTTTGAAAAAGTACTATATGCATAGGAACCAACTTCAACTAAAGGTCTGTGAGGCGAAGCCGAGTGGAATGGAACATTTCATCTGTCACTGAATGACATTATTCTTTCTATTGCACGAACGTGAAACATTCATTATTTGTTATATATAACATCTGAATAAATCCTCGTCATCTGATTGGTTGACTTTTAATAGCCAATTTATTCAAGTTAAAAATTGTTTACAAGTTTGACAAGTTCAGAGTTATCATATTTAATTTATGCAAACTGTTCAACAGGTTGAAAACTATCATATTTAATTTATCTCAATTTAAAACTTTTCCATAAGTTTAGAACTTAAACGGTTCAATAAGTCCAGAACTTTTATTGCCAATTTAAACACCACAGCGCCACCTTCGGCAACATGTGCAGTGACAGTGCAATGGTACTTCTAATCACAGTGCAATAGTACTTCCATTGCACTGTGCGCTGCGCGCCACGCACGCGCCATGCATTGGTACGAATAATTCAATGGCATGTGATCAACGATCCACCAATCAGATGACGGGGAATTATTCAGGTGTTGTATAAAACACACTTTCTTCCTCCATTCTTCCGTCAGAAAGTACATTTCTTTTCTATTTTTTACCTCATGTGAACTGCGAAGATTCATTGGACAAAAAGGAAAATGACAACAATTTTAGGTTTGCTTTGGTGAACATTGGGATCGGTCGTGAGCGAACCCTGCTGTTTAATATTCTTCTATATTATAATTCCATTAATAACATTATTCACGGTATCGTTTTAAACATTTCTTCTACAAGATCTTCTGAACAATGTTTAATATTCTTCAATATCGCAATTCATTATTTAAATAATGCGTAATAGCCTCCACGAATTCTTCGAGAAAAACATTCTATTAGATAAACGAATCAAAGCAACAAGTTATTCTTGTGCATCGGATTATTTTCTCCGTGCTTCATTTCTTTTTTTCTTTTTTTTTCTTTTTTCTTTTTACTTGCAAGACTAAATTAAATGTTTAATTTAATTTAATTTAATTTTCTATTACTCAGTATTCAATCAGCCTTTTTAATACTTAAAAGTAAGACTTGAACATGTTTCCAACCGCAAATCGGTTTTAAGCCGGAAAAGAGGCTTGTGTCTTAAATGCCAAGGTTCCTAGTAGCAAGCAAATTAGACTTGTTGTCTAACTGAAAATATACGTTCCTGGCGCTCTCTGTTTTCCACCTGCCCTGTTTGGATATCAGGAATGGAGGAACATTTGCGTTGAAGGCAGCAGATGCCCCGCCTGATTTCAAGCTGTGAAGACCGTAAGTGGCAACATCGGGGACGATGGGTCGTAGAGCGTCCAGTACTATCTCGCGTGTGCGTGTATAGCTGAGTGGTTTGGTAGACGATGTAAGGCCTTTCTTGGTGGCAACAAGTCTGCGAAGCACCGGTAAGGTTGAGTTGTTGGAATCGCCTAGAGCCGAAAAATACCGTTCGGCCACAGGCACTGGGCAAGTCGGTTTGAAAGTTCTAGCGATCACGACATCTGTCCCTTGCCTAAATTGGTCAGACTTGGATTTGCAAAGGTGTATGGTAAGACGGTCTGAAGAAATTGTACAGTCATTTCTGCTAATGTTTCTTATGTCATCGAAGCGAAGGAATCCGGCGTAAGAAATGAAACAAACAAACAGGATGCGCAGATCTGCCAGTGTTGCTGAGGAGTGCCCGTGGTTGATATGCAGCTTTGTCAGAATGTCTGGTGTGATTTGGTCTTTCCGGATGGTCGGTGAAGAGTTCTGCCTTTTAAAGCCTTGCAGTGCCATCTTGACAATGCTGTTGTCTGTTGGTGAGGGTAGACCAGCCAAACTGTGCACCCATTTGACGGCTGCTGCAGCGAGTTCGGCGGTGGATTTGGATCCGGTGGATGACAGATGCGATATGTAGAGTGCGAATTGGAATGGGTTGACCGGGAACTTGGTAATCTCTGGTTTTGATGAAGCCCAGGTCTCCCACTTTGTCCATGAAGCCTTGTACTTGGTCGTGGTGGATTCGGCCTTTGCTGACATCAAGAGAGACGGCAGTGTGCTGTTTGCCAGTTCACGGAGGGATGAGTCGCGGAGGGTAGATGTATAGTTGTTCCATATTTCTGTAGAGGAAAAGTGAAAAAGACCACCCAACAGTACGGGTAACAATGACGAACAAATTCGTCTGTTTATATAAAACATATGTTCCTGCAAAATTGGAACGTTAACAATTTCAAAGAGAAACATTTCTTCAGTGCCTGGATTTAAAGCGACAAATTGTGCAAATAGCCGCAAATCGGCAATTTTTTGGCAACAAATAGCCGAATCGAAGAATAAAGTCATGTTGAGTTCTGTTAGACTATTTAATGAGTTATTTATTTGTTGAAAGAAATATTTTTGATTGAGGAGTGTTATCGGTTCGATGCCGAGTGTCGGCGTAACAGGTTTTGGCCTGCTACTCGGTGGCCACGAAAAACCCCCTGTGGGGGAAACGTGGGTGCAACCCGGACCCTCGGCGGAGGTGCACTCCCCCTGAACCGATTTCCATTATTAATTGAGTTAATTTAAATGGGTTGGGAAGGGTGGGCAAGTCTGGTGTAGCAGGGTGTGTCGCTTGACCGAGAATGAATGCTTAGAACTAAAGCAGCTCTATATAAAGGAGATTAGGTGAACATTCTTGATTGCATAACCTGACGTAAGCGCTGCAATGAGCCAATTAGCATATCGTACAAAAAACGAAAAGAAATTCCACTTTCTTCCTCCATTCTTCCGTCAGAAAGTACATTTCTTTTCTATTTTTTACCTCATGTGAACTGCGAAGATTCATTGGACAAAAAGGAAAATGACAACAATTTTAGGTTTGCTTTGGTGAACATTGGGATCGGTCGTGAGCGAACCCTGCTGAGGAACGCAAAAGAACGGGGGTTGGAAAATCTTTAGTGGTTGGGCTACAAGGACTGATGTATTGCTGTGAAAACAAATAATCACATCACGGCGCCAAGTGGCCGGTGTCATAAAATTATATGCACGGTTATAACGATCAAAGTAATGGTGTCAAACGACCATGACCAACATTGAACAACTACAAACTAACCAACAATTCTGGTTTGGTTCAACATTTTTTAAGCACTGAAAATGGATGTGTACGCCGGTATCAAATAACCGGGAATAAGAGACTGTATCAAACTCCAGTCAAATTTGATCTATAAGCACTTTTGGCAGTAGCCAAGGTCAGAGCAACAAAAATTCTTGTTGTCCTTTCTGCCAGGGACCGTATGGTCAATTCTCAAGGCCAGTGACAAAAAATTGGGCGTTTTATTGAAAACTGAGTTGCGATCGAGCAACGGTGGAGAGAAAGAAATGTTTAAGAGCCGCCAGTCGTGAACGAAACTGTTCAAATGGACGCCATCATAACACAAGGAAGGCCAGAAATATGCCGAGGTCCATTTTGGGACGATAAGGGTGCCGTAAGCTCTACATTTTGCAAGATGCCTTAAAACGGCTACTATGAGGGAAACTGGTGGGCAAATGTAATTATTTTGATTGCACCAATTGTGACAGAAAGCGTCTACGCCAGAGGTCCCCTTGCACCAGAATCTAGAATTAAACTTCTGGACCTTAGAATTACAAGGGGAGGCAAATCGGTCAATTGAATGGAGGCCCCATAACTTGTCGACAAACGTGAAAGTTGTCTGGTCAATGGACCAATCGTCGTAATCGGTAACCCTACTGATGCTGTCTGCGATAGTATTGATATTTCGAGGAACCCACTCCGCCATTATGACAATATTGTGTTTCAAACACAGGTTGAATATGGATATGGCTAATGATTGCAGGTCGGACTTTGTGCTTCCGTGTGCTATGATGCGGGGAACGTTGGTGTTGTCCGTGAACCACCTGATTTTTTCGTGTGCGCAATGCTCACTCGACTCGGACAGTATTCTGAAGACGGCTGCTAACTCTCGCCATGTTGAACTGCGTATTTTCTCAGACTCCGACCAGGTTCCGTTAAAATCATTTGGGAAGCGTCTTGCACGTATCCACCCCAGCCAGTATCGCTTGCGTCCGAATAAACTACGCGAGACGGCGTGTGCTGGTGTTTATAGAAAAACCGTTGTACGCATCTAGGTTTGATTGCCAGAAATTCAACTCCGTGACTGTGCGATCCGATAAGAGCATGCAGTCAGACCATGAGGACCTGGATTCGGTAGTTTGATATGTGGCGCGTGTCATGAGGCGCGTTACTGGTCCTAGCGCTACTGACATGGATATTATTTGACCGGTGATGCTAGCGAGAGATTTTGCATGGGTTGGGATGGAGAGGGCGTGATCTGACAGGACTTTGTCGATTGATACTTTGAGTTTCGTAATTTTAGTGGGGGGCACGGTGAATGTCAAAGTGCGCGAATCTATGATCATGCCGAGGAACTTGATGCTAGTCTGAGGATGCCACATGCACTTCGTTTTACTTGGGACGAATCCGCTCTTGACTAGAGTTTGTTTAACGGTGAGAGAGTTGTGCAGTGCAGTATGAAAATCTGGGGATACTATGATGCCGTCATCGATGTAGGCAAACGAAGTGATTCCTTGTGCGCGCCAATGATAGATGAGCGGCCTGGTGATCTTAGTAAATATGTAACACGCACTAGAGAGACCGAATGGTAAGACGCGAAACACGTAGAATTTAGTGGTGGAGTTCTTAGATCTCCAAGAAAAACTGAGGTATTTCTGGTGGGGACCGAAAACGTCAACATGATGGTAGCCGGACTCGAGATCGAAACTGAAATAGTACTGGTTGTGATCTAGAATTTGAGATATGTGGGATAGATCTTCATATTTGAACTTGGTCTTGTAAACAAATTGATTGGGATGTCGAAGATCTAGAACTAATCTTAGCTTCTTCCCTACGGCAACTGTGAGAGGGTTACAGCAGTAAGGCGGACTATCGACCTCGTATATGCACCGTTTTCTCAGCAGCTCAGAAATGGCTTGTTCGACAAACTCGGGGTGGTCTAGGCTAGATGCATTGTTTTTTGCTATGAATGGAGGCGGAGTGGTTAGGAACGGGATTTTATAACCTGAATCCAAAACATCTATAACAAAATTACTGGCCTTCAAAACACTTCTCCAAAAGGAAATGCATTGTTTTAATCTACCTTGAACTCCTTCTGGTGTTTTGCCATCGAGTTGATGTTCCCAGACTCTACTGCTTGTCGGATGTTCTGGATCCTTGCAGTCTTGGTTGATGGAGTGCTCGAAGGGATGGACATGTTGTGCGCACATGTCCTTGGATACCGCATTGGAAGCAGATACGGTTGTCGTGATAGGCTCCCTGGTAGGGACGAAAATACTGCTGACGAAAAGGAGTAGCAGTACGCGTATTGGCCGCCATCGTCTTGGTTTGGTATGGTCTGCTGCTACTGCTGGCTCGCTTCTTGGGGGCCGGTTTCTTAGCAGCGGCTACCTTCTCGGCTTTTTTGATTCTCTTTTCATCGCTGGAGTCCTCGGCGAGGGTATCCGCCACGTACTCCTTGACAACGCCCCAGCCGAGCTCCGATCTGTCGGCGAGTCGAATTAGTTTCTGACGCTCTTTGGTGGCTTTGATTGCTTCTTTCAGATTGCTTTTTGCTTCGTCTAGGTCAAGCGTTTCGATGTTCTGTAGAGAGGTTTCGATTAAGGTCAGCACTTTCTCGCAATGAGAAAATTGCTGCTGATTACCGTCCCTCTTGAAGGTAGGTGTGTCGGTGAGTTTCTGCTTCTTGCAAGCAGATTGGACTTTTGAGTCTATAGAGTTTGTCAGAGCTTGGATGGCTTGCAAGATTTCTTGATTGCCGCCAACGGGCTGAGGCTGTATATCGCTCTGTGACATGACGCATAAGCAGGAGCTGTATTGGCAGTCACTAAGTCTGGTGTAGCAGGGTGTGTCGCTTGACCGAGAATGAATGCTTAGAACTAAAGCAGCTCTATATAAAGGAGATTAGGTGAACATTCTTGATTGCATAACCTGACGTAAGCGCTGCAACGAGCCAATTAGCATATCGTACAAAAAACGAAAAGAAATTCCACATCACGTGACATTCATTATTGCTCCAATTCAAGCCAGGGCCCAAAAAGTCCCATTCGCCCATGCATGGGGAATGGGATTTAGTATTCAACAGTTAGGATTACTATACCTCATACATATTCATGATCGAGAGCCGAACGTTCACTGGTCAATTCACCATCACGTGCCAGATGTTATTCTTGCTGTTTACCAAACGCGCGCGCGAGGATTCACACACATTGTAAATACGCATGCGTAGTAGACTGTCGCATGGGTTACCCGTGCGACAGTCTACTACGCATGCGCTTTACAGAGCAATCGAGGAACTGTCGCACGGGTGCAGTACGCACGCGCGAACATCACACAGGAGAGATGCATGGTTGCACGGTTCGCGTAAATGTTAATTTACAGAGCTCAATGACGCCGTACTGGAGAAAATGTATAGACCGTGTAAAGATGTCTCCTGTACAAAAGAAAGTTGTACACATTGCAAACAACTGTATTTACAACTGTAGTAACTGTATTATATTGCAAACGAACCGAACTAGTAATTGAAGTTGAATCTTTTGGTGAGCTGTACAAGTTTCCCCAAATTTTGTTTTAGGTGCATAATAATAAAACAAAATTCGGCAACTGAATATGTATGAGGTATAGTAAAACAAATATAACATGGTTTATTTTGGGTGGACAGTTGATATTAGCTCCCCTCGGTATTGGAAGTTGACAAACTAGTTCCCTCGGCTTCGCCTCGGGAACTAGTTTGTCAACTTCCAATACCTCAGGGAGCGAATATCAACTGTCCACCCTCAAACCATGTTATATTTGTATATCATATCCTTGTTCCATGACGCGGTATTTGTGTACAAATGCATGCTGGTGTGCGCATTCAGCATTGCGCATAGCGCGTGTTGTTGCAAAGAGCCAGCGCGACAGAGTTGCGTTCAAACATTTTGTGAAGGGTTGGTTTGGAAGAGAGAAATACATTTCCACCAATTTTGTATTGAAATAATAGTTAAGAAATTAATGACAAGGATCTATGTCGGTTATATAAAACAAATATTGAGTGGCTTTAAATTGTGAAACGGGAGGAATATTATCGCTCGGTAAAATCTTGACTTTTCCAGTTCACTCAGCATCGCCTCGTGAAGTCCAGATTTTACCTTGTGATAATATTCCTCCCATCCACTCTGAGCTACTCAATATTTGTATACTATTAAACCCATCTTCGAGGCCACATTGAAAGTAGTTGGCTATGGCTAGCAGTAGCATATGTGTCCATGGAAAGTGGCATCAGCCACTTCAATAGTCACATGTGTAATCCAAAGCCATAGCCATTATGGGTTATGCGTATGATGTCGTCAGTCCTATAGAGAGATGCACAACATGACCTCACTAAGGTCAAATCTATGACCTCACTGAGGTCAAATCTCGCATATAAGTTTACTGTGGGAAAACGGTTTGCATACCTTTATTAATTCAAACACCTCAGTTATAACTTTGATCTTTCAAACTTTGACCCTTGAACTTTGACCTTTACTTGGCAGAGGAAGTAACCTGTGACCCCCTGGGCGAGTTTCGCTGCACCAATCACCGTTGTATCCCCCAGCCATGGTACTGCGATTTTCAAGAAGACTGCGGGGACTTTTCCGATGAGCCGCGAGGCTGTGGTGAGTGTAAAATACCATTCGAAATCGACGGTCTCTTGTATTTTGCATTTGTTATTTTTGAATAAAAAAAAATCAGCCGGCTGCATTTGACTGGAAATGAAACAAAAAATGTTTAAAAGGCAGCCATTGCGTACACCATCCACAAATTTGCAGACATGTTTGGACCCAGTTTTTTGGGAAACACATTTTTTTTTGCCCCCCCCCCCCCTTCACACTTTACAGATTAAAAAAGTGAAGGAAAAAACACCTTATAAGTCATGTAAAGCTTGGAATGCCCTCTTTTTCATGTTGCTTCCCATTTGCATGCCTGTTCAAGGTAAACTACAAAACCCAAATTCACATGTTGGCCTCAGTGGGATTCGAACATGGGACGGCTAGGTGGAAGGCCAGGAAAGTACCGCCACGCCTGACTCAAGTCCACTTCCTGTTTATCCCCGTATTTTGTCCCAAAACAAACTGTTAATCTCTGTGAAATGTACCTCTCTCCTTTGATTGAACTAACAGAGCCTCGTGCCTGCAGCGAGAGCGAGTTCCGATGTGTCTCTAGAGGTCTGTGCATCAAGGGTCGATGGCGCTGCGACGGCAACCCAGACTGCAGTGACGGCTCCGACGAACAGGGATGTAAGTCTTGAAGGCATATAGGATCACTTGCTCATAATGAAAAGTTTGGGGCCCAAACGCGCAAAAGATCAATGTGTGTGAGACAGCTCCACAGCTTGCCCAATTGACCATGCGATTTGCATAGCACATGCAACACGCTGGCCACGTGCCCTCACACAACTGACCTCTGCAATCATTGGGGGAAAACTTTGACAAAAAAATGATCAGTGGTTTCTTAACCAATGAAATCGAGTCTTATATGAATGGAAAGAGGACTTCATCCTCTTTTAAACCGCTATCCCCAGTGTGCTCTAACATTGGGTTCTTGAGATATGTTGAGATAAACAACCAAAGGTTTGTCACAAACGGTCATTTTCTGTTCCGCTCCATAGGCAATTTCCTCATACCCCTCATTTTCTATAAAAAAAATTATCATTGTTTTTCTTGCCTTTCCAAGACAGTTATAAATAGACTTAAAGCCAGACGAATGAATTTTCATAATTTGCAACCCCAAGATTTGTGCGACCGTCCGTTCTGAAGATACAAGGAATTTAGTGTAAAAATGGGCTATCTTTGTGGTCATTTCCCCACGTTAAAGCTTGTGTGGACATTTCCGGTTGAGCAGATGCGCGCTACTTTTCATTATGTTCATGCATTTTGTTCATTTCCACTAAAAACACCACTCAAAATCCATAGAAGAACGTTTACAACCTACCCTGTTGAAGTTTCAGATCAGTGGATATAACACTTTTTGAGAAAACAGTGAAAAACCATGCACAACCTTTTGATAACGAAACATGATTTCGTCAATAGCACTCTCTATTTCCAGAAATCAGTCAATTGACTGATCGTTGGAAATCACCTACATTTCTTGATTTCTTCTAAATGACAGCAAGCCAGACGGAATACTTGCACAGGGTGTTTAGTACCAGTATGATCTGTAATACAATTAAGCTTTGTGTTAAAAATTTGGTAGGTTACTTTTTGGATAAATGCAAACAAGCCTTTAAGGCCAGTTCATACTTGGCATGAAAGCGGAGGGAAACGCGAATTTGTAAAACTTCACATTTCAACTTTGGTTAATTTCACAGGAAATGTGTCCTAACGTCAAAGTATGAACTGGTCTACATTCTGTCAATCTGTGTCACGCTACTTGTCTATAGATAAAATTAGAGGCCATTTGGGGCATCACAAGTCCAACTTTACGGACATCACATCTTTTGAAAATCAACTTTATCACCTTTTTCTTTTCATGAAAATTTATGAAGTGGCATAACTCCACGTATGCCGGATTTCATTGCATAAGTTGCACAAGTGTCCTTGTGCAGCTTTTTAGTTCTGAGACATTTCACAAAACTTTCACAGTTGTACGACTGTACAGCCTGCGACTTATGCAACAAATTATGGCGTAATATTTGCTGTCATTTTAGTTGGCATAAATTATGGCGCACAGAATAACAAGGGACTAGTTTACTGACACATCGTTATCATACTGTGGCCTTTATTGACAAACTTATCAAGGTTGATACCAGAAATTCACAGCTTTGTGTTTTTGAAGTCAGAGAATGCTATTTTACAATTCCAAATAAGTTGGACAAAACTGTTTTCAAAATGGCGGGTGAAGGTGATTCGGTGACCGACATTAAATTATTTCATAAACAGCGGGCGTAAAAGCTATGATTATTGTTCTGCAGTCGCACAAAAAACTTGTTGCGAAAATCTCACGAATGGCGTAAGTTGCAATTTTGTGTGTGAAAACAGCTGCTACTTTTGCAGCCAAGGTGCCATTTCAAACAAAAAGTGAATCTTGTGTGAATGTCTCTTTTGATTCTTCTGATAGGCGATCCACTGGTATGCGGGCCCGATCAATTCGAGTGCACCATCGGAGGCTGTATCGCTCGCAATCTAACCTGTAATGGCTACCTTGACTGCGGAGATCGCTCAGACGAAATCAACTGCGGTAAGAAATGTAGACATTAATGACAGTAACACATTTAAGAGTGGTATGTGTGTCTAGTGTGTAAAGCGCTCGCCTCTTACCACTGTGGCCTTGGTTTGATTCCCGGCTCGGACCATGTGTGAGTAGAGTTGTTTGTTGATTACGTGCCACAAGGGTTTTTCTCCGGATTCTCCGCATTTCCTCGTTTTTCCAGAGACAACTAGTCGACTAGTCACACAGCCCTACTTCAAATCCCATTTTCCCCTCCTGCTGCCCTAATCGCAAAGAAACTAACTATCCATGTTTTTTTAATTTCCCTTATTTGTCTAAATTGTCATTCAGATTAAATTTTCTCCTTTTTTGGTTTGGGAATTGTTTCAGTTTGCTCTGCGGACCAGTTCCGATGCGGCAACACATTTTGTGTGCCTCTCAGTCATGTATGCGACACGTATGACGACTGTGGCGATAACAGCGATGAATCGGTCGACGCCTGTCGTAAGTTGAGCCGTGTCCGGCTTTCTGTGATTTTATTGCATGCTGTGCACCATAACAGTTTTATTTCTTTAGTCTGCTTGGCCTATGTCTTTTGAATCGGTGCCATGTAGTCCCCTCCTTCTTGGATTGCCGAAGGGAGGGTACTTCTAAGGATTGTAAGGCTGCCCTCAGGTCGACCTTTCGAAGTCACAGAACAACTGGCGATGGAATTTCCAGGATCATGCTGTGCCTGAGCTACGATCGTTTGTAAAATATAAGTCGCTGATTTTTTTGCAGCCTGAGCATAACTGCGACGATATTAAGGCGTTGGCATCAGTTGGCGTTGAAAAAATTAACAGTCGCTAGATTAGAAAAATTTCAATTTCTGCACCCCGATATAACGTGTTCCCGGCAGGAGGAATCAATCATAGTTAGCCTGTGTGAAGTTACGACGTTGTGCGAACATCCGGATAATCTATTCATTGTGTTAGCCAATCAGTGTGTGGCAAAAATGGTCAAATGAAGAGATGAGGCCGTGGAAGATCGTTAGATTGTTATCAATGCTCACTGTCATTTTGAAAACGTCACATGATTACGTCTGTCCCGAGGAATCATCATCTCGTTGTGGGTGATGTGTGAGCGTGGTTGCGATTATTTTATGTCGAGATGCCACTTTTTCTAAGAGAATCACACGATTTCTCAGTTTTGTGACCTGAGCATTACTTTTCTGCTTGATGCCGACGGTTCCGTCGCGGCACAAGCAAATCGCAGGTCGACCTGAGGCCACCCTAAAACCTGTGAAATTCCGGCAAACACTGACTACAGATCTTTTTGAGTTGAGGTGAGCTTCAGAATGAGGCTGTTTCCCGCTGTCTGTGGAATAAGGGTCATTCTGTAAATTTAGGCTCCAAAGTGTTACATTTTTTCCTGTTCCTGTTACCTTGGTACTTTGTAATTTGCCATTCAAGTATCATTAAGAATGACTTCAAATGATATGAAAAAAATAGCACTTACTAAGTAGTTTGCTATTCGTAATCACTCTTGGAGGATGTCGGCGTAGAGTATATCATTTGTCATTTGTGCATTTTTTTTTTTTTCATTTGAAGCAACAAAAGTGCTCAAAATCTTAATTAAGAGGGTGCTGAACAACTAACCTGATGAAGTTTCAGCTCAGTGAATGCTGTATATTCCGAGAAAGCAATATTCTAGGATCTCGATTTCAATTGAACAGTTGCCGACTCATGTTTTGAATTGCGCCCGAAACCAGCGTCTGGGACGTGTTCTCACTCAGCCAATGGCAGCTACGCGATGACGAGCAGTGAACCGACAAATAATAGCAACCGTGCACACGTGGCGTTGTGTCAACACTAGCATACATGTACACACATTCACGGTTTTGCTGAATTAAAAACGAACTACTAGCAGAAATTTCCAAAAAATGCATCTTTGGAAATGGCCTTCTTTTATTGATGTCTTCAAAATGACAGCATGCCAGAAAGAATGATTTCACTGGGAGTTTAGTGCCGCTTCTATGCCCCCCCCCCCCAAACGAACCCAATTGTTTTTTTAATTGACGTCGCAATAAAGACAGGCACTGCGTAAACCACCATCTTTTCCTCCAAAAAATGTGTCAAAGAGGTTAGAAACTGCCTCAGATTGCACCACAGAACATCTAGAATCCAAAAATAATTTGGGGCCCTTTTTGGGGACGAAATTTTTTTGGGCCCCAAAAATAGCGTTCTTTATCCGCCCTTGGGATGGTTTGACTACTCTAGTCGACTATTTGGAATCAACACCCACAGCTGGGTTCCATAGCCGGTTACCAATAGCCACGCGCATCATGAAGCACAGCATGGAACGAGCACCCGATTTCATCAAACTCTTCGTAACTTACGATGCATAGCATCTCTACGATGCGTCGCAGCTGCGACGCATCCTGCGATCCATTTCACAAAACACTTCATAAGTGCGACGCGTCGTAAGTGTATTTATAGCCCAACTCGGTGACTGTTTTATGTATTTAGTCAGCGTACAGTAAATAGTCGTCTGATATTCAACAAAGAGTCGTCGGATCTCAGCTTGAAATTTGTTAAAACGTTAAACAAAATGGCGACCGTGCGATGCAATTTTGAAGGAAAATCTTTCATTGGACTGTGTAGCTACTTTGCAATTTCAACTCTAATATTCCGGTCTAATTCATAATTATTCAATGAATTTTCTATTTACAACTTTACAAATATTGCCTTGGTATTATAATCTCGTTAATGTAATGATTATGGCATAAAACTGGCTTTGAAATGACTCTTCTTATTTTGCGATGACCACTAGACACGTCGTAACTTGCGAAGTGTTTTAAGCCGTTGTCAAGGAACTTACGACGCGTTAAACACATCGCAACTTTCATGAAATGGAAGATACAACGCGTCGCGAGTTGTGACATATCATGGTTAATTGTCAAGGGCATTACACTTCCTTCCATAATGCTGGAATTGTTAGTCAGTTCTTGTTTTGACGAGCCCATGCTCACTTTTGCTTTCGTGCTGAGTATAAATCTACATTTACTTAGCAAAAATCAGTGTACACATATAATAACTGTTTGCAGCATGCTTACAGATGAACAGATGTTGTTCCTGATGAACTCACATTCAGTGTTTCTCAATGAATTTCTCACAAAGTCAAACCCACCTCAGCTGAAACTGTTACAAGTGAGTCGTTGCATGCATTTCCTTAACATAAATATGAATCTTGCAGACAAATAAACAGGAGAAAAAATTCAAATATTCTTAACTTTTTAATTTGTACTTTGGGCAAATGGCTTTCCAATTTTTTTTTATACCCCAAAGTATTATATATGGAGATGCTAAAAGGGCGACAACAATTTATTGGCTTTGTTTTTTTTTGCTTCACGCCATCTTTGCCCAGGGTAGGAATCCTGTGTACATTGCTGATTACTGGTTATGGAAAAATATCCCCTCCTTTGCTTTTTTTTGGTCCCAATTTGTTGGGTTTGATTTTATGACTACACTATCTCTGCCTTTCAAAATGATGGTTTTTGAGCTTTTATGGTTCTTTTTAGAAATGGCAAAACCATTGCAGCCTTTGATACCTGTTGACGTTTTTGTGGGCATTCCTTAACATGTTGCCTTGCTTGTTGAACCAGCTTGCCTATTTTTCTTTCAGTCAGCCCATTTCTTTGTCGTTCGTATTAGTCTAAAAAGTAAAAATTCTAACAATTTTTTTTCTTGCAACACTTATGAACACAGGTCGTGGGGAGTTTCCAAAACACGGCTTTTCAGCTGGCTTCACCTCAAAGAGATAGGCCTTGAGGGATATTGCTCAAAATATGTCAGTTTTTTTCTGCTTCAGAACATCAACTACTGTATGCAAAGCCAAGTACTTTTTATTTGATTTGGACATAAGAAGACTTGCAAATCGTCACCAACACCTCGAACTGACACTCAGTTGCACCAGTCGCGTAATTTACAGAACCGTGTTATATTCATTTTCACGAACTAACACCCGGCACAGTGCAGCACTGCATGCGCGCACTCCGTATTGATCTTAATTTCACCAGTAAAAAGGTTTTTAATTAAATTTTTGTGTAAGCCCACAAGTATACGGATGGATTGAATTCATGTCAAAGCTTTCGACGCATTTTCTCTGAATTGTATTTCCGTAATATGCTTGAGTGTTAGTTCGTGAAAACCAAGATCATTCTATTTTACGTCGGTGTCCAATGTGCGCTCGCACAACTCGGTTGTTAGTTCATGAAACCGAAATTGTTGATTACGCGATTTTCACGAAGTAACACCCACTAGTGCATGAGTGTTAGTTCGTGAAAACGGTGACGAAATGTAGCCAAAGCTGAATCAAAGCCAAGATTTTGAAACCTCTGTAATATAACCCTTCCTCAACAATACAACCCCCCCCCCCCCCCCCCCCCCGCCTTCCTACCAAAAATATTTACAGTGGTTTTTTGTTCTCTCCTGAACAGGCACTGTCGTGTGTGAACCCAACGCCACCATGTGTATCGTTGATAACCTTCTCAAGTGTTTGCCTGAACACAAACGATGTGATGGCATTCAAGAGTGCTTTGACAATGAGGATGAGCGAGATTGTGAGTGAATTTTCTTGTTTTAGGAGGGCTGTTAGTTGTACTGAAACAGCCCTAGTTTTTTGTAAAGATATTATTTTTTGGTCATTTTCTCAATTTTGTTCTCTGTCCACTTATCTCCGTAGGATTCAAACACATTTTTATCCTACACCCATTTATATCACTCCCATTGACTTCAAACTTGGCACATGCATCGACCATCCTCTTAAATAAGATTTGTGCTGAGTCAAGACATCGTGATGGCATCATCATGTGTCGTGACAAACACCTGTCTAGTTTTTGTTTTAATTGATAATTGAGGAACGTGCAGAACAAAATTGTGATTTGTGACCGATTTCTAACAAGCTTGTTCAGCAGGAGGTCGTGGGTTCGAGTCCCACCCAAGCAACCCTTTGAATTTTTCTCACCAGCTCTCAGACATCACTGGAAAAATCGTACTCATAAAATAATGAATACAATACCAAACAATCCTTTGTGACCCTATTGCGCTTGTTATAGTGATCTTCTGTTGTGAGCGGTTTTGCCTGTCACTGTATGTATTAGATTACTGAGCACAGGTAAGGTACGCGTAATCCGCCTGCGATACGCAGCAGACTCAGCGGCTGTAGCTAGTAGGCATAACAAAGGCGTATTGTTACATGATGCAATTGAGCCTGCAAGAGTTTGTAGCTGGCCGGTATTAAACTAAGGACATAATTTTTCACGTACTCACTCCGTTGACTCCGCAAACGGTCATTACTGAAAACAATTATAAATCAAGTCTCTATGCAAACTGTGAAAGTGGATTTTCCATTTTTATCACGTTACCACTACAGCTAATATCTTACAATCTTTTTAGACATTCTGAATCAGTGGAATAGAATTGTGTGCACTCTAGTACCAGCATAACTAGGCCTGCCTAGTCGTGCTTTTACCAAAGATCCAGTGTTGATTTAAAACCTGTACATCTACGCAATTTTTTGTTGTTGTTATTACAACTTTTTTATGGATTTCCTTTTCCTTTCGTTTTCCTCAATTTTATTTTGTACAGGTGCGAGGGTCTGCACGGCAAATACCTTCAAGTGTCAGAACGGCGAGTGCATCATGTGGGACGGAGTGTGCAACATGCAGCAGGACTGCAGCGACAACTCAGACGAGACAGCATGCTGTAAGCGCTGTTATAGATACAAATTTCCTCCTGCCAGTTTCACGGCGCTGTTAAGCACAGGAATCTTGTGTTTTTGAGAAGCGTTTTTTTCCACGGGCGCGACTCAACTCTCATTGCAATTTTTGTTCTCACATCGAGCACACTTTTAACATCTGTGAGATAAATGTTGCCTTGTACATGTAATTTGAGCAGAAGAATTCAAAGTTTGACCGAATTTCACTTGTTTACTTCTGCCAGACTCCTCAAAATGTTTGGCACATACAGCACGTGAGATTTTTCAAATCGCGCGTGCGTATTGCGTGCACGCAGCACGGATGCGCTGAGTGCACAGTGTACGAACTCTGTTAACGATGAAAGCCCAGTCTACAACAATGCTACAACTTAACGTATATTTCAAGTTTACTTTCCGGATTATATCGTGTATGGAATTTCTTAAAACAACTAAAACATATTCATGAGCAAAACTGCTCATTTATTTATTGGGAAAACCTTTGTTTCCCTTCTTTTGTTGTCCTTTGTTCCTATTGAAATCTCAAACTCCATAGCGTTTCCCTTATGGGGCAGATAGATTTCTGAATACTTCCTTGTGGGGTCTATTGTTCTATTGTGTTTACTGTCCCATGAGGAACCAGGTACATGTACGTACTGGTTTGCGCATGTCACCTAGTGCACAAAGACATTTAAAGCATCTTCGCATGAGCATCAGGCGTCGTCGACAAAGCGTTTGAAGGTCCCTCCCATGGTCTTCCCAAACTCTCCCTTTCTTACCGTTGAGGGGGTACTTGTGCGCGGAGCCCATATATAGATTCTTCAGTGAAATACACTGTAGCACAAGTGCTGATGGGTTAAAGTTGCCTACTTTTGATTGTCTTTGACAGACAAAGACCCGGTGCAATGTCAGACGAGCACGTGTCAGAAGGAGTGTGTCACCCTGTCTAATACTGCTATCGTCTGCAGCTGTGGCCCAGGCTTTGTGGAAACGGCCAATGGTTGCGAAGGTGGGTGCTTGCTTTTCTGTAAATTGTGAATTTTGTTTTAAAAAGTGGACGCATAAATCTTACGGTTGGTCTCCCTGTGCTATTTTGTGCTAAAAAAAAAAACCCAAAGAAAAAAAACCACAGAAACAACTTTGTATATACAATGATATAGTTCGAAAATTAGCAAATTGAGTTTTATTTTCTTAGAAAAGAAAACTAGTACGACTTTCAGATCACTCTTTGTAAAACTTTAAGCCGGCCTCAGGTTGATCTTTTCACAACAGAGAACAGTGAGAGAACTTTTCAGGATCAAGCTGTGCTTTAGCTACCACTGTCGGGAACATTTCAGCAGCCAATTTTTTTTTGGCGACCTGAGTGTGACTCAGATAATTACCATTAAGATGATCGGCATCAGTTGGGGCTAAAAAATCGACAGTCACAGAAGTAGAAAAATGTCTACTTCTGCGCCGCGATGGAACGTGTTCGCAACAGGCTGAATCAATCGCAGTCGACTCATGGACGCATCTGGATCTTCTAATTTTATCGTGAATCATCGTTATGTCGTGGGTGATGTGAGCATGATCGCAACTGTCAAGATGCCTCATGTTCCACAATGATCACATGATTTCTCAGTTTTGCGATCTGAGCATGACTGTTGTGCTTGATGCCGACGTTTCTGTTGCGGCGCAAGCAAGTTATATAGGTCGACCTGAGGCGGGCTTTATTTATCTATTCCATTTCTTTTCCCAGGGTATGCCCCAACAGTTAAAAACTGGTTTCCATTGGGGTCCAGCATGCATAACAAATTGTTAAATAATGTTAAGTAAAGATAAACTCTAAGGAAAAGTACATTGGTGAAACATATACGACGAACATTAATATTTACATATACAAGTACATGTATCTCAGAAATATTAAACAAAAACCATATACATTGTACATATTTTAAACATTCAATTATAAGGCATGAATTACTGATCACGGGATGAGCGAAAACCCCACAAAAACCCTTTTGGGGGAAAAAATGGGGAAATTCCCGATCCGGCTCCAAATGAATACCATGGCAACCAAGTATATAACTCCATAGATCAGCAAATTTGAACTAAATATCACTCACTTATGGCTTTCGTAGTTCTGATTTAAATGTATTTAAGGAATCTATAGTTCTAAGTTGTTCATGCAAATTATCCCATTATATTCGCACCACTCACAGCGAAACATTTGGCATAGCATTCCCTTTTGGCTAAATGAACTTCCAATGCCATGTTAGTTGATTGTCTTGTTTTACCAATCCGTTTAAGTGGTGTGAAAAGATTTGTCATGTACAAAGGAGTAATTTTGTTTAGACATTTTAAAACAAGAATAGCCTTTTTAAACTTTAAAGTTTTTCCCCATTTTGATTCGTCCGGAAGATATCAACGAGTGCTACCTCCACAATCCCTGTGACCAAGTCTGCCACAACACCAAGGGGGGTTACGAGTGTTCCTGCGCTGTTGGTTTCACAGACAGAGGTGTCCATGGCAACGACTGCAAAGCCAATGGTAAATAGCAATATTGTTAACGTTTGACTTTTTTCCGCATAGACATTCCATCCCGAACATACAGATTTGAAGTACGTGTGATGGAAAAGTAACTTGGGAAAAGCCTTTCAACACTGGCCTCGAAGGGCCCATGCAATGTAAATTTTTATAATGCAAGCCTTGAAAATGCACCTTTGTGTCCAATTTAACCTTATTTGAATAAAAAAATTTGTTTTTGCCATTTTCAAGAGTATTTTGGTGCCTTTGTGGCTTTTATGCTAATGCAAATTTCCATATTTATGAGCATAAGCTTGATGTAATTTCAGGAAGAAATTTCATGTAACAGCTATTTCAGCACCAAACGTTGCCAGAATTTTGGATATTTTGCCGTCATGAATTTTCTTTTCTTTGGTGATTCATTGTTACATGACAATGAGCAAAGCCAATGAGAATTTTTTTTCTTACAAATGTTTTCATAAGCATGTTTGGGTTTCACAATTTGAACAGAAAACACCTAAACTTAACAGTATCTTCCTGAAATGACATCACAGCAACAGCGTCCTCAGTTGTCCGGAAAAGCATGGACATTTATAAATGTTTAAGGAAGTGCACTTTTCAATAAGACTAACCAAAAAATGGTGGTCAAATAATTTCCATACAATTAAGAGGAGGAGAAAGTGTCACAAAATGTGTTTATAAGAAAAACAGGAATCCTTGAAAACTGGGACAGTAACCATTGCATCAGTAAGTTTTACAACAAAAATCTAAATATGATCACTGCGTCTGCTTGCCTTATTTGCAGGCGATGTTGAGGTGATTCTGTTTGGAGACGGTTCAGAGTTACGCAAGTATGTCTTGGAGTATAACAGGTATCAGGACATCGTAGTGAACGAATCTCGTATCGACTCTGTGGACTTTGACTTCAGCTCAGGTTGGCCTTATCAATTTAATCCTGACACTATTTTGTATAACGGAAAATTTTGTGAATTGGATTTGTTAAAGTCTCGCCTTAGCCCAAAAGTTTGGATAACCCCATACCGCCAATGAATGCGCTATATCTGGCCCATTGTGTAGGCCACATGCATGAAAAGACTTCTGGTGAATAGCCAGTCTGAAGCGATTAGAATGTTGTGCACTCTTGGACCAGCTTTACAAGGCTTGCCTAATTGTCTGTTTTGTTATGCCATGGTATTACGCAAACACAGCCGTATGGTTACGAAGGGCGATTTCTAAAGGTTACGTAACACTTTATTTTGAATGAAACTACATGCACACAGACATGTTCACCCAGGCGTGTAAAATCTTTGAAATTAATTTCTCCCATTTGAAAGACCGTATCTTCATGCAACTTTCAGGGTTTTTTTCCCTTATAATGATCCAAGCACGTGCTAAAAATGGTTGTGATATGTTCATTACTTTTTGTTGAAATTGGAAAAATAGGCCTGGCTTCGTGTATTTTTGTAACACTGGCGTTTGCAATAGCTGTCAATCTTTTCAAGCCTCAGGAATATTAATAAGGTTCCTATCCATTATGGTGTGCAGTAAAAGTTTGAGTACTAGCCTCCTTCACAAGTTATTAATTAATAAATATCACCCTTTTTGCCGGCTTCCATTGGTCAGTACCGAGACCCACGCCAAGTCACGCCGAGTGACACTAATGAATATGCTAATATGCACTTTGTCAATGTGTTGCCAGGCCAAAATTGGTCAACCATAGGGCCTATACGGCGCTAAAAACCATGCACGTTGGTTGGTTGGAAAAAAATCCATGTCGAAATTTTCCTTGGAGATAGTTCAAGGTGTAACACTAGTGTTTGCAACAACAGATGAACCTGAAATTCGGAATATACTTAAATGATATAAGTGTTCAACTACTTGTGAAATAACAACTTGAGTAGATTCCTAGAAATTGACATAAATACATAGATTTGGGGAAGTTTTCGAACGATTTCTTCCAGACTTGAATGTCAGCTTTACCAGTAACCAGTATTGATGTTTCAGCATAGATGACGGCGATTTTTGTCACTGACATGAAGTTCCCAATTTCCTCTTCCGTTATAATTTAACATTTCAATCACACTGAGCATATTTTCTGAGAAACACAACGTTCAAAAGGCCATTTTTTGGGGGTGCATGAATTTCACTGCTCTGTTACAGCGTCGAAATACCTAATCGGATTAGCTTTGCCTATCAATGGCAGACGCTTTGCCTTCGCAAGCATAAGGCTTGAACCACAGCATGGTTCAAGCAGAGTGGCTTGGAAATTTGACATTGGACAAAAGTAAAATGTTAAGCAATGACTCGGCAATTATTACTCAAGAAGTTCCTTACCCCTGATATGTTTCTTCTGAAGGCCTTGATGCCTAACACAAGCACTTCCCGAAAGTGTCCGCTTCAATAATAATAATAATAATCTTAGTGCTTGTATAGTACTTTCCATGGTATCAACAATCTCAAAGCGCTTTCCAATTATTACCCCGATCATCAGGCCATGAAATCACGCGGCAGCCGATATCAGTGCTCAATCGGTCTTTGACCCTCATGGGTACCCATTTATACTCCTGGGTGGAGAGAGGCAATTGTAGTTAAGTGTCTTACCCAAAGGCACAAACACCATGTTCCTGGCAGGGTTCGAACCCACGCACTGTCGTACATGAGTCAGACACTCTAACCACTGGACCTTGGCGTTCTACAGCTTCAGCTCTGCCAGGTCAACAACTTAACTAAGCTCACACCCTCTTGTCCCAGCTTGTGCGGTTCAAGAGTGTTACCCTCTCAATTGAACCTTTGTTGCCTGACTGTCTCGAAACTGACGTATGATGTTTCCTCATTGACATCTGCATGGGTCACAACTGCCACGAACTCATGCGCGGGCGCTTGATGGCACACTTTGCCCTTTTACTAATCAACAAATTTAGATTTGCCACCCAGGCAGTATGCCAGTCACATAATTTGTCTGTCGTAAAGGTTTTAATAAGGTGCTAGCAACAACCCCACCCATCGCTACTGTTCTGTAGCTGGGAATCTAGGAACTTTAAAGATACTACTTCCCTCGTATTTCCAACCAGTTGGGCGATAGTGGGGGATAGCACATGCAAGATAGCCACTTTTACTTCTCTGATGCGTTTGAGCATCAACCAATGAAGAAGTGCATGGAGCTCATAAGTATGTATGAAATCTAATACTATTTCTTCTTTTTGTTTCTTGATCCATTTGTATGTCGCTCTGTGCATGCATACAGGCTCTGTGTACTTCACAGACTCACAACTGCGTGCTGTCAAGAAAGTCACAGTCGGCAACGATAACGCCACGGAAGCGCCGGATAACCTGGGTCTTGACAATGTGTACGCTCCCGTGGGCATCGCTGTGGACTGGCTGGGAAAGTAAGTACAGTGGGGGAACTCTTAAGCTCTGGTCCGTGGACTCTATGGGATCCGTACACAAGTACCCCATCAACGGCCAGCAAAGGAGAGTTGGGGGTGACCTAGACTGGTTTCCGATCCATCCACTGCATTTTTCGAATGTATCCAAAGTAATTGGAGGAGGGGATTAATCTCGGCGACCATCGCAGTTAGTTGAATTCGAACGTTTTTGCACGCCGACGACGCCTGACGCTCACACGTGGTACGTGTGGTGACTATAGCTTTTGCACATTCAGGAAGTTGTGCGTACTTCGTGCGCGAACGCACACAGTATGCCCACGCTGTGTGTCCCGTCCACGGAGTACTCAAAAGAGGTAAAAACGCGCCCTCTTTTGTTGGCGCACAGATCCTAACAGTAAAGTAAAGTCTGTCACAAGCCAATATTATGCCCATCAGGCCGGCATTTATCTTCAGTTTCAGTGGCATGAAACTACTGAGAATAGTTCTATTCCCCCTGGATGGGATGCCAGTCCATCGCAGGTTACTCCCCAGCTAATGTCGGTACCCATTTATACTCCTGGGTGGAGAGAGGCAAGTGGGGGTGAAGTGGCTTGCCCAAGGACATAACACATGTGCAGTAGCTGGATTCGAACCCCTGACACCTCTGATCATAAGGCACAAACAACAGATGGCACTTTCTGATCACCTTCATTAAACCCAGTGGAAGGGACACGCCGTGTGTGCATAGATATGGCGTTAAGGACGCATGACCAATTTTATTCAAAAATAGGCACAAACTAGTGGAGGCTTCGCACGAGCATCAGGCACCATCGGGGATGACATTTGATTGTCTCTCCCAGTGGTCTCTCCCAACTCTCCCTTTGTAACCGCTGAGTGGGTACTTGTGCACGGAGATGGTGCCACCATTTTGTGCTTAAACAGCGTTAGTGCAGCAATTCTACACTAACCCTGTGAGCACCCTGTGAGCCTAGCGGATGGAAAACTAATTCATAAAGGTTGCCTGCCCGAAAGTTAGATTTGGGTTGACATAAATACTTTTTGGTTCTTTTCGACTCTGGAACTACCAGTCTGAAATGGAAAGTTAGATAACTTTTTGTGCATGTCTCAATCAAGGGCGGATCCAGAACACAATTTTTGGGGGGGGGCCAAAAAAATTTTTGGTCCCCCAAAAAAGTGGGTAAAAAAAATTACGGCGTGGGGTTCGGGGCCCGCTTAAGGGCCCCGAAATTTTTTTGGATTCTAGATGCTCTGTGGTGCGATCTGAGGCACTTTCTGACCACTTTAACCAATGTTTTTTTGAGGAAAAGATGGTGGTGTACTCATTGCCTGCCTTTATTGCGATGTCACATAAAAAAAAAAAAATTGGTTTCGTTTTGGGGGGGGGCCATGGCCCCCTTTGGCCCCCCCCCCCCCTGGATCCGCCCTTGGTCTCAATCCCTTTCTTGTTCTGTTTACAGTAATACGTACTTCACGGATCAAGGCCTACCCCCTGATGCTCATGGGAGACGTGCAGCAGCAGACAGAGGTCCTAAGGTGGTGGTAGCAGCCCTCCGATCCCACCCATATCATGAGAAGACGCTTCACACTGCTACCAAGCCATCGGCCATCGCTGTCAACCCACGCAGAGGGTAGGTTGGAGTGTTTGTTCTTGTAACATCCTAACAATTATGGGGATAACAATTTGGATGGATTAATAATTGTCATGAGTGAGACAGATGGAGGACTCCTCTTGCCCCCCCCCCCCCCCCCCCCCCCAATCCCCAAACTCCGGCTCCTATCGCCCATTCCCCCCCACAATCCACACCCCTAAATTCCCCAAATCCCAGGTCCATCCCCACCCCCAAATCCACATTCTCATCCCCCACCCCCACTCGTAAATCCCCCACCCCCAAATGCCCCCCAAAAACAACCCTAAATCCGACAACCCCACTCCCAAATCCCCCATTCCCACCCGAAATGCCCCATCCCCACCCTAAAATCTCCTATCCCTACTCCCAAATCCCCTACCCTAGCCCCAAATCCCCCATTCCCAGCCCAAATCTTCCATCCCCACCCCCAAATCTCCCACCTTCACCTCCAAATCTCCTATCCCCACTCCCAAATCCCCTACCCTAGCCCCAAATCCCCCATTCCCAGCCCAAATCTCCCATCTCCCACCTTCACTTGTCAATCTCCTATCCCACTCACAAATCCCCTACCCTACCCTACCCCCAAATCCCCCATTCCCAGCCCAAATCTCCCATCCCCACCCCCAAATCTCCCACCTAATCTCCTATCCCCACTCCCAAATCCCACTTCCTTCCCTCCCCTACCTCAAATCCCAAATCCTCAAATCTTCCCTTCCCTTTCCTCCACCCTCTCTCTTACTTCCCCAACCCTATCTTTCACTTCCCACATTCCCTACGTGTACTCCTCTGGAATATAAAAATCTCAGTTTAGTACTAATACACAGCAACCTCGTTCCCATGGGTAAGAGATCTTGCTGCGCCATGTTGTTTCCAATCATGCCTTGCACGATCTCAACCCCTGGATTTGTCTCATTTAAATGTGTCAAATTATGGCACATTATAATTAGGCTGCAGTTTATCTGTTTTACCTGCTGATGCCATCTTTATAATGTTGAAAGTTGTGATTTTGAAGAATCAATCCTTTCAAACATAAGGTTTGGATGTTGTGAGATTAGCCAGTCAGCATCGTTTATGTTTTCATCACGGCCAGGGGTTAGGAACGCACACGCGCCCATGAAGTCGAGGCTGTTTACTCAGTGACTCATTCAGTCAGTCAGAGACAAATAGGCTTGCCCCTCAAAGTCAGCAGAAATGAATGGAAAAGGAAGGGAACAAAAGATTACAGGCACGCAACTTTGCCTAGGATCTGCTGATTTCCTCGTTTGCTACTTCTCATGCATGCCATTACAAATTGAAAAAAAAATAGTGTATTATTAAGTCTTGTGTGGTTTGATGTTTCCTCGTTTTTTTCTAAATTCCCAGTTGCATGCCTGAAATTAACCACGCATCTTCTATCCCAAGTAATCTTCCCCCTCTCCTCTATGCTTTCTCTGTAGCTTGATGTATTGGACAGATCTGGGCGTACCAGAGAGAGGCACCCGTCTATTCATGTCCTGGATGAATGGCGAGAACTTTAGCCCAGTCCATGAAGCAGCTGGGAAACTAGACCAACCCACTGGGCTTTCCGTGGATTACGGCGGCAATGATACCGTCTACTGGTGCGATGCCCGCTCAGATAAAATAGGCTACATCACGTATGATGGGTCATACTTTGCCATTCTTCAGACCAGTGGTGGTATGTTTACTTTAGAAGTTTAATTGGTTTTTAGAAAGGGGGATGGTTTTATATGGTTTTATGCAGGGAGAGTAAAAAAAAACCCGAAACCCAAATGTCGGGACTATTGTTGTAGTGAAGTCCTTCATGTAGCACTTTCAAAATCTAGGATATGAGAGCCCTATTCAAAAACTTTGTTGTAGTACAAGAAACATTCAAATCACTTATGTACTTTTCAAGTTACAGAATTTTAAACACAACCACCGTTTTGAGGTTCTGTCCACGAATCACAGCAAATTTCAGTGTTCTTTTGGCATAACGAAAACAAATCACATAGGGATGTGTGAATTGTTTTCGTTTTGCTGAAAGTGGACAGAACTTTAAAACGGTGGTTTCGTTTAAAATTACGTAACTTGAAAAGTACATGAGTGATTTCAATGATTCGGTACTAAAAGAAAGCTTATGAATTTGGGCTTTCATATCCTAGATTTTCAAAGTGCTACATGAAAAACTTCACTTAAACAATAGTCCCGACATTTGGGTTTCGTGTTTTTTTACTCACCCTGTATTATTCCATACTGCTAAGATACACAGAGAATGAGACCTTTAAAGGTATTGTAGATCGTTTGTCATTTTTTCATTTTTTTTTTCATTTGAAGCAACAAAAGTGCTCAAAAACAGGTGCTTTAACAACTAACCTGATGAAGTTTTAGCTAACTGAATGCTGTATATTCCGAGAAAACAATATTCTAGGATCTCTATTTCAATTCGAAAGTTGTCAAGTTATGTTTTGAATTGCGCCCGGAGTCTGCGTCCGTGACACGTTCTCATTCAGCCAATTGCAGCTAGCTGCACGATGTCTCACACTGAACAGGCAAAGTATAGCAAGTGGGTGTGCATCGTGTCAACGTTTGCGCCCACCCATTCGCCAAATTAAAAACGAACTGCTAACGGAAATTTCCAAAAATGCATCTTTAGATGCATCTTTGAAATGACCTTCTTTGATTGTTTTCTTCGAAATGACAAGCATGCCAGAAGGAATAATTTTACAGGGAGTTTAGTGCCATTACTATCTGTAAACCAAGTATGGTTTTCAACAGTAATTTTGTCAGTTACTTTTTGGATAGCTACACGATATAGCTATCAAATCATCAAATAACGATAAAACTGACTATATTTATCTGTTGTTCTGCTGTTTTCACAGGTCTCAGTAACCCTTTCCAGCTAGACGTCTTTGGTAACCTCATCTACTGGACTACTAGCAGCACCAGCGAACTGGGCATGATCAAGACCATGAACAAGACCGGCGGGGACATAACCGACTTTCTGTCTGGGATCCAACGACCCACGGCCATTAGGGTCTACCAAGAGCAACGCTACCCCCTGGATGGTAGGTCTGCTTATAGATGCTTTGGGTTTAATTTCATAAACGTTTAGCGATACAATTGAGCGCTGTCAAAACGTTTAAACGTTTAGCCACTTCACAAAGGCTGACGCTTGCTCACATATGTTTGCACTAGAGTGTGTTAAAAAAAAATTCATAAATTTGTCAATCTCGTGACAGCGGCATGTTGACAACATAAACAAATAAATTGTATAGACAATAGTCAGCCGGCAGTCATTGAAAACGTACAAACCTCAGTCCTCCTGATTTGAAAATCACAGGCATGTGGTAAAAGGCACACCTGGATTTTCTAGGCGTGTGATTTTTCTAGGCGTGTGATTTTTCTAGGCGAGTGATTCTGTGGTCCAAGCTGGGACTGAACAATCTGGAATTTTTTGGTACTGTTCATCTTGGTTTACAAATTAAAGCCATTTTCTCTTCACCGACATACTTTTTTCCCCATAAATTGTGAAGTATTTATGCCGTAAATGTATGCCGGGGTGTGCGGTACAGAGGGATTCAGGCGTGCGATTATTCGCACTTCTTGGGCAGCTTTTAGGCGTGTGATGGCATGGGGGTGTGATCGCACGCCTCAAATCAGAAGGACTGAAACCTAACTGCCCGGAATGTGATCAAGCACTGGGGTGCTTTTAATACTTGGTAAGTTGGTTGAAAGAAATCCTTGATTCTTTGTGAAATGCATGTGCAACTTTGAGGGCAGATCGTGTAAACTTTTTCATAACACGGGTTTCATTTCTACGTTTCTGAAAATTTGTAAACGGATCTAGATTTTTTTTCGTTTAAACGTTTAAACGTTTAAACTTGTAAACATCACATCCTTAGTCTGCATTCCCTGAAATTTATGCAGTGGCGTAACTCAGCTTAGTCCACGTTTTATTGTGTAGGTCGTGCCAAATTTCACGTTTGCACAACTTTTTAGTCATGACACATTTCATGAAAGTTTCACAGTGGGCAAGTCTGATGCTTACACAACAAATTCTGGCATGGCATACACAAATCATTTGAGGGTAGTGTACACACATTTGCAAACATCAAATAATGACCCTACAAAATTATTATGAAATACCTTACTTAACTGTAAGTGAATAGTAGTCTCAAGCATTCTGTGAAATGATTGCGCCTGGTATGCTGTCATTTTCAAGAAAAAATGGAAGTTCGTATCATTTTCCAACCATGGTTTGGCCAGACCATCGTTGGGAAAGAAAGTTTTTTTTTCAAATACTGCCCCCACTTGACAAAATTTAATCAATAAGGCATCCATGAGCGGGCGTAAGCCAGCTAGTCTGGGTTTCTGACATGACAATTCCATGACATCTATTTAAATTGTCCTGTTTTGTCTAAAGCGTTGGGTCAGGGAACCAGACTACAAAAACAGTGTTTATTTTTTCTTATTTTGTTTTTTTGGGCATCCTTGAACATAAAGAACTTTAAACAGGTCAGTGGAATGATATTTGCTCCAAAAAACGAACTCCCGAATCCGTCCATTTTCAGAAAATTACAGCAAAAGCAAATGTACATGTATATTTACCTTGAAAGGGAATATACAACATTTGCAAACATCGAAAAATATAACTACCAAGTTTTTACGAAATAACTTACTTGGATGTTGGTAAATGACAGTCTAAAGCATCCTGTAAAATTATGGCACCTGGTGTTAAGTCATTTTCAAGACAATTGTATTTTTGTATACATTTGCAACGGTGGTCAGCCGACCACCGTTGGAAAAACCTAACTATTTTTCAACTACTGCTCCAAATTTACAACTTTTTTTCAGTCCAAATTTTGTTTGTTATTGGTTACATGTTCATGAACGGTTGCAGGCCAGCTAGACTGGTTCCCTTACCTTACAATTTTCCGACATCTATAAATTGATCCATTTTATCTTTAGTGGAGTCAGGGAACCAGACTACTGAAATATTTTAGTTTTTCTTGTTTTTTCAAGCATTTACGAACACAAAACTTCAAACATGTCAGTTAAACAATATTTGATCTATTATACTAACCCCTCAAATAGTTCATTTCTGAAAATTACAGCAAAAGCCAATGATGTACATTCCCTTTAAGTGGTGCAAGTCACAGCGTACACATTGAAAAGCTAATTGTGATTGTTGGTGAGCCTGCCATTGCTTAACTTTGATACAAGAAATTCACAGCTTTGCGTTTGAAATGCTACTTTAGTTGGACAGACTTTTAGAGTTGCCTCCTGATTAAAAAGTCGGACCAAACTAGTTTCCAGCTGGTTGCATGGTGATTCAATGACTGTTATATGACCAACATGAAATGCAAACAGCCACTGTAATAATCCTCATGATCTTTGTCCAAGATGCTCAAAAAGAAGCCTCACCAACCAAAAATTGATCTGCAGTATGGAGTGAATGTAATTTGAGAAAGTCCTGAGGTTGTGATTGTGTGTTTTGTTCATTTTTTTCAGTGCCCAACCCGTGTGCGAGGAACCCATGCCGGTATCTGTGTCTGATAGTGCCCCAGCTGAAAGGCAACGCTACCACTAAAGGCTTTGAGTGCGCCTGCCCATCCGGTGTGCCTGTGGATCACTGCAATGGTAATTCAGACTAATAAGCTCTTACCGGTACATTACACTGTATTACATTGTATTTACTCCTGGATGAATCCGTAAAACCCATACATCTATGTTAAATTACTAGAGAGTTAACTTGCTGTATATATGCAATGAAGCCTGCTTGGTGCCTTCATGTTCAGGCATAAAACTATGGTAAGCTCAAAAACTGTGTGCAGCTTTGCAATCGAAACAGACTTGAAGCGGGTACGTCCAAAACTGAAATGTAGAGTCAATAATTGACCGTTTCGGATCACGCTGCGTGATTAATGCACGCATACCCATATGCCCGTCTGAAACTTTCCGGGCATACTTCTCATGAAAGCAGTTTTATAGAGCTGCGCCTTTTAGACTCTCGCGTTGCATTAAGGAAATAATAGTTTGGGAGAGCAGTTTTAAACGTTTTGTTTAAAACTGGTTAGGGTCTGGTCGCCGATAATGGCCTGAGCCGAAGGTGATGAAATTCCGACGATGTGCGCAACAATTGTAATCCATGTTCAGGCCACTTCTACGGTGTGTGTCGTGCACGCACATGGTTTGCTCAACATTATAGAGATCATAACCAGTGGTTCTCAAGCAGAACACTCGCGGTCGGTAACAGCAGAATATGCAGCTCGTACTGTGCACATGTGGCACGGAGTGCAGTGTGGCGCATCCGGTTTCAAGCATGGCTGACCGGAGTTTGATTGAACGGCAGTTTAAAACCACCCCCATGACGAGCTCTTGACCAGTTGGAATGGTAAACAGTCTCAGGGTATTTATGATCGCACTCACTAATTCAAAATGTCTGCAGAAAATCAGAATATAGTCAGTCTAACTACGGTATTGATTGTGAAATTTCATTTACAAAATGTGTTTTCTTGATCAATGTATTTCAGAATTTCATGTATGATCCCCTTATGGACCCAACGGACATACCGCCATAATCCTTCTTAAAGTCCTTTTGATATTTTTGCCTTATAGGAGCGTAGGTAATGTACCTCAGGCACGCTAATATACCCACGCATAAGTCAATGTAGATGCGCAAACTGACAACTCAAACTTTGAAAGTAACATAGAAAGCTTTGATCCTTTTTTTTCTCTACCTTTTCACTGTACTTTCTTAATATTCAAAGCCCAGTGTACCGGTATCTTCTGACAAAACAGACTTCGTTGCAAACTCCCCTTCCACATTTAGTATGAAAGCACATTGTAGTGTTGCAGTTCTACTTCTAATTTCCGGTTGACTTTATGTAGGAACTCTGAATAGCACTGAATGGCCTACAACTGGCATGTCTACAAGACAAACTACTACCATGTCTTTAACGAGACAAACTTCCGGTAAGTACATCTACAGACGTATTCACTTCAACAGAATGGAATCGCGTACCACGCTAAGCTTGTCGTCATAGCTGCAACAATTCTTCCAAATCATCTCATTTTGCTCTCGCTTGTTTTGCCTTATAATCATATTTGTGGCATGTATCGTTGGCAAGTTTGCACATTATTATAGCAATTTCCGTCACAACTCGATGTCCTATCATACAAGTTGGCATTTCCTTCTATTTTTATTCTACTTTGTTCTTTTTTCACACAATGTCTGTGATGATCAACATAGCTGAAATACTAGTCATTTGATTTTTTAATCAAAGCCCAGTCCGCCCCGCTCACAAGTACCCCTTCACCAGCAAAGAAAGTACAGTTGGGAGTGACCGACCGACGCCAACTTGCCTGACTGCAATTCATTTGATGCGAAGCACGGCCACTGCAAGTACATAGTACAAATCCCCTGGTGTACGTGCATCACACACAAGGAACGGTGCGCGTCAACCAGCGAAATGTCCCGCTCATGGGACGTTGTTGCTAGGTTAAAGGGCGCCCTCTTTTTCGGCGCTCAGAGCCCATAATGTATCATCAGTCAAAACGGGAGAACAAGAAAATTCCCATACTTTCCTTTTTTGGACATTTTCAACCCTCGTCTGTAGTTTTTGCGCCCTTCATCATCGTCATCAGGCTAGAGTTCATCCATTTGTTGGATAAAGCCCTTCTCGCATGTATTAAACATACTGTTTAATACCAACCAAGCACATATTTATTCCCATTCATAAATACCTTTTTGGTAAAAAAATTAAAACGTTTCGGTCCAGAAGTCAAAACAAGTCAAAAATTAAACATTTCCACTTATTTGGATAACAATTTTACTTTCTGTGTTTAGAAACACCCCTCTAGCTATATAATGGAGTGTCCAGCGCGCGAGTTAGATAGTAAGATATAATCACTTACTTTTATGGAGATTGGCGCGCACGTTGTGCGTACTGCGCATGACGCGCAGATGCAGCTGCGGCAAGTGCATTGCGAATTTAGGACCATGAAATACTGACTCACTGGTTGAGTATTGCGCATGCCTACGTGAGGTTTGTAAATGTTCAACCAATAAAACGATAAAAGGCACTGGATTTCAAAGGAGTCCAAATTTCAAGTGACACTGGCAAAAGTGTTTAAGACCAGCCAGCCATGTCTAAGTTATCTTCCGTTTCAGACTGGCCACGTGATGGGCTCTCGACCAATGGCTAAACTGTCTTAGCTATTTATGAATGAAAATTTACGGCAAGAGAAAAAAGATCAAAACTTTTGGCATCTTTTGATGCAGAACCACCTCCAACACTGAAGGTTTCTGCCTTGAACGACATTGCTGATTTACTCATGAATATCGATAATTTGATCACCTGGACAGCTTGCTTGAACTTGTTGAACGTGGAACCCGATAGGCTGTGGACTTTCATCCTTACGTATCCTGTCAATGTGTATTTACGTAAAATATGTACTTTGCCGAAACTAATCCAAATTTGATTGAGACTTGATCATTCTACTCGCAAACCTGCTGTGTGCTCTCTATTTGAAAGTTTACACCTGTAAATTGTGAATGTGAAGAGAAATACGTATGCATCACGGATTCGCAACAGGTAAATGCACAATGCGATACGCACATCAAAAACGGACCCATGGTTTTCGGCCATTCTCATTGCTCAGACTCCTTCAAATCACCAAATCGACAGCCTCAACCACAGACTTCTAAAGTCACTTTGCTCACTTCACAATTGACCTATTGCGGTAGAATTGCGTTAGAATCGCTTCAACGCAGCTTGTGAAATATTGTCCAATTACATCTATCTATACTACAATTCAAGGAATCTCTGTCTGTCTGTCTGTCCGTCTGTCTGTCTGTCTGTCCGCCGATTATCTCCAGAACCGGGCACCGTATGGAGTTGAAAATCGGCGGGTGTATTGCTCGGGACAGCAGAATGTGCAGTGCTGAGTTTGAAGTGGTTTGGAAGAGCGGTCCTCGAAAAAGCTGCAAAAAAGCAGTATTTTCTGAGGCCTAGCGCGCCAGAATATAGCCTAGAACCCGGCGCGCACTGCTGTTCTTTTCAATTGTTTACGTCATGTTTGAGCAAGAGCGCGCGTGCTTAATATGACGCAACAATGAAAAAAAGGACGTGCACATTGTAGGGCGATAGCACTGCACACCATGTCTTCGTACGTGAGTGGCATGCACGGGCACGGGCACATGCATTTTGTAGTCAACTGAGCAACCATCACTGCACTGTATGTAGGCGGTCGACTGAGCAACTCTAATACAATATGGTATCGCCCTACAACTACGCCTTACAGTTGTAGGGCGATACCATATTGTCCAGTAGGGGTAAATATCAGTGCCGGGGGTTGACGACATTTTGTGCGTTTAACTTGCGAGTGTGCGTTCACACCATTGAGTAATGTGCGTTATTTGCACGAGCTGCAGTTCTCAACTGCCCCTTCCGAACACGCACATTTTGGACTGGCCCTGCACTAGTCCTTACTATAATTCCAGGAATCTCTGTCTGTCTGTCTGTCCGTCGATTATCTCCAGAACCGGGCACCGTATGAAGTTGAAAATCAGCGGGTGTATTGCTCGGGACCACAGAATGTGCAGTGTCAAGTTTGAAGTGGTTTGGACGAGCGGTTCTCGAAAAAGCTGCAAAAAAGCAATATTTTCTGAAGCCTAGCGTGGCAGTTTATAGCTTAGAACATAACATCACGCACTGCCGTTCTTTTAAATTGTTTACGTCATGTAAAGCTAAAGCGCGCGTGCTCAATAATGACGCAAACAATGCAAAAGAGGACGGGCACGCGCACGTGCATTATAGGGCGATACCATTGTCCAGTATGGGTGAATAGCACTGCATACCATGTTTCCGTATTATGGTGGCTGCACGGGCACGTTATTTTTTGCAGTCGACTGAGCGACCATTGTAGGCGGTCGACTGGGCAACCTTACTGCAGGTCGATACCATTGTCCAGTAGGGGTTAATATCTGCGCTACTTTTTGCAGCTTTTTCGAGAACAACTCGCCCAAACAACTTTAAACTTGGCACGGGCAGTTTTCAAAAACTCTGCAAGCATGCATCCAATACCAGCGGCAAAGCAATTTGCACTTCCCAAACATGCACATTTTAGACGGGCACTGCACTAGTGATATACAAATGGACACGGAGCGTGCAACATCTGAGACAGACGAAACTTAGCGTACAAAATTCCATATAGGTCAAACGGCGATAGGTCAATTTTCCTTATGCCGACAACCCAGCTGCAACAATTATTACCTCCACCAAGGAGGTTATGTTTTCATCGGCGTTGGGGTTTGGGGGCGTTTGTTTGTCTGTTAACAGGATAACTCAAAAAGTTGTAGATGGATTTTCATGAATTTGTTTTTTTTTAGGGGTGATCCTTGCTACAAGTACAAATCGATTACATTTTGAAAGTGATCCAGATCTGGGTCTGGATGTAGGATTTTTTTAAAGGATTCTTCACCATTTTTTGGGTGCGAATATGCTATGTGTAGAGACGTGTGTGGGTAACACAAGTGTGCAGTCTACGAGCGCATAGCGCACACACCATTGAAACCAACAGGTCAATGGACTTGACCATTTGATACTATGGGGGAGTGGGGAATGTGCAATACAATCTGGAAGTCCAGTGGATATGCGAGTATTTCTTTTGGGTGTATCGACAATGTGGCGGGGAATTGTTCAACCTTGGCGGAGGTTTGCGCTCTCTGAGTGCTTTCTAGTTTATCCTGTTTTCGCCGTGGAAAACAAAGTCTCTTTTTTTTGCCATTTCTTAAATTGTCATAAAGCCGAAGGATTAAGGGAAGTACAAAAAATTGTCATCTATATTCCTCTTCAGTTTCATTAATCAAAAACATACTTTTAAAAAGACACTTCCTGGTCAAGCAGCAATTACGATTTCATGTTTTTGGCTTATTTTGGGGGTGGGGGTGGGCCACTTGGAATTTGTGTGGGGGGGGGGGGGGGGGGGCACGTACCCCCTGCCCCAGCCCTCCCCCTTGGCTTATGACACTGGAGATTTCTGTCTGACATGAAATAGTTTATCACAAACTCATGGGGCCTGTCTTACACGTCTGATGCACTGCACCACGCACTACACCACATTTTGTATGTATGTATAGTTGTGATGCAAATAGTGTGTTCAATGTCGCACTTATTTCAGTGCGAAAGTAATTTTTAAAGGGTTGACAGCAAATGTCTCGATGAAACTTCAATAGTTAACGTCACAAAATTCACTTCACTTTCACTTTCGATTGAAGCATGAACTTGTCTTTTAGTAATGTACCCATTGTTGTAGTCCAGGTCCTTATGATAGATCACAAGTCAATCACGGTTACATGTATCACAAGTCAATTTGAACGAGACGTATTCCTGATTCATCCATAAAACCATAGAGTGCGCGGGCATGATAGGGTTGTACAGAGAGGAACAGCTGGGGAGCTTTTGGGGCACTACAGTGTGTATACTGGGTGGAAAAAAAAACAGTTTTGTGTAGCCGTCGAGACTGGTCTTGGTCTCGAGACCAGTCTCGAGACCAGTTTTAACGTGTTCTCGGTCTCGACCACGCATGGTCTTGGAAAAAAAACCCGCTGGTCTTGGTCTTGGTCTCGCACCTACTGTTCTCGGAATTTTGGGCCGAGACCAGCACAAGACCAATATAAAAATGCACTTGCAGTTGTTGCCTAACGAAATCGAAATCCCGCAAGAATACCGCCATTAATGTTCCATCGTTCTGATCTGGCGACCGTCGTACCGGCTGCACTGACGTACATAATCTGACTACTATGTCTGACTTGACTACGGCTAGCTCTGAGATACCTCGTGCGTTTGCGCGTGATCTATTATATGCATAATGGTGACTAGCCGTAGCCACATAATTATTATTGCCAATGGTTACCGTCAGTAAAAAAGATGTGTATTGAATGCATGGTTTGCTGGGCAACCGGTACCCATACTCCGTAGTCACATATTGCGTGGTCCGGTAACAAGACACGTGTAATATAATCCCAGGACATACCGTTATTTCGTTTTACCATTTTGCATTTCCTCAAAACAAAAACAGTAGACAAACCATTGACCGTTTTGTCGTTTTACAGTTTTGTAAAACGGTCAAACGGTATTAAGATAAATACGGTTTCTCTGTTTTATAAGTTTAATAAAATTCATTACAGCATAACGATCAACTATTTTTGTTTTACAGTTTTACACAAATAACTTTGAAAAACAGCAAAACGGTCAGTATTGAATACAGACTGTTTTTTTTTTTTATTTCAGTGTCATAGTGAACAGTCCCTGGTGCATTTTGTGGT